GCCTCCGGGACCCCCCGGCCCCGCAGCCGCCCCCCATGTCCCCGCGTGTGCCCCTCGGCCCCACCTGGTCCCCGCACGCCGCCAGCGCCGCCGGGAAGCGCCGCAGCCGCGCCCGCGCCCGCAGCCACACACCGCGCCCCGACATCGCTCACCGCATGGGCGCCGCCATGACAGGCCGCCCGCCATTGGCCGCCCGCCCCGCCCGTCAAGCCATCGCGCTCTCCTATTGGGCCGTATCGTCCCCATCCCAGCCCCTTCTGATTGGTCCCTGTGGAGATTGTTCCCTCTGATTGGTGGAGGTGCCCGTTGTTTATTTCCCGTCTCTCGCTGGCGTCAGCCCTGTTCTCCTTTTCCGCGCGGAGCTCCGCCCTTCCCAGCTGATGATTGGTGGAGCGGCAGAGTTTCTTCCTCTCATTGGTGCGCGGAAGCTTCCGGGAGGCGGGGTCATGACGCCACCGCGGGGCCGGGCAGGGCGGTGCGGACAGTGTCATGGCGGCGCCGCTGCGGGACCGGCTGAGTTTCCTGAGCCGGGTAAGAACGGGGGGATTTGGGGGTCGTGGGGGCTGCCCGGGCCGTGACGTCACTCCACACGCGTGATGTCATCGCCGCACACCCCCACCTCGCTTCTACAGCGGCCTCACACACCCCTGGCGGGGCCGGGCCTGACCCGGAGCTTCAGCCGGGGTCGGGGTCCAGCCTTCCCCGGGGTCGGGCCTGGCCCCTCTCACTTCGGCCCCTCCGTCCGCAGCTGCCGGTGCTGCTGCGGGGCACGGCCGACGACGACACCCCGTGCCCCGGGTACCTGTTCGAGGAGATCGCCAGTATCCTTCAGAGGCCTGGGGCTGCTTCCATGGTGGGAGGGGGATCCCCGGGGCAGGTGGGGGGTCCTTGGGCACTGGGGGGGTTCCCGGGGCTGCCCCAGGCCGTGGTGGGCACAGGAGGCCTGTGGGGCTGGGTAGGGGCAGCCACAGCGCTGCGGGCCGTGGCTGGGATTCCGTGGAGGGGGCGTATTCCTGGCATCCCGGGGGGCTGCTGGTGCCCCCTGATCCCGGCTGGGGGGCGCAGGATCCCTAACATCCCCCCAGAGATCTCCCACGAGTCTCCTGGGAGCAGCCAGTGCCTGCTGGAGCACCTCCTCACGCGGCTGCAGAGCAGCTCCTGCCACGTCAAGCTGAAGGTGGGTCCGTGCCAGGGGCACCGGCTGGTGATGGGCTGGACCCCCCCTGCTCCAGGGGGCTGGGGGGCACCCCTGACCTGGCCTTGTGCCCCGGGCCAGGTGCTGAAGATCCTGCTGCACACCTGCTCCCAGGGCTCCCCCCAGTTCGTGCTGCAGCTGAAGAGGAATGCGGGCTTCATCCGCGAGGCTGCAGGTAACGGGCTGGGCTGGGCTGGGGGGCTCAGGGCAGGGGGCACGGCCTCACACAGGGCTGGAGACCCCGACAGGCTCCTGCTGCAGGGGCTGCACCAGCAGCAAGGTCCTGCCCTGCCCGGGAGCATCCCCCATCCCTCTCCCCCTGTGTCCACAGTGTTCTCCGGGCCCCCCGACCCCCTGCACGGCAACAGCCTGAACCAGAAGGTGCGGGCGGCTGCACAGGTGGGTGCCGGGCGGCCACGGCAGCTCCCAACCCCGCCCTGGGGGTCCCCAGCACTGCCCACACTCCTCCCTCCCTCTCCAATCCCCCAGGACCTGGCCAGTGTTCTCTTCTCGGATGTGCCGCTGCCACAGTCCCTGGCACTGCCTGCCCGGCCCCCGGCCCCCGCTGGTGAGTGCAGCCCCCCAGCACCCCCAGGGGGAGGAACCGCAGCCAAAGGGGACCCCGAGTGCTGAGTGTTCCCTGTGTGTCCCCAGGGATGGGCTCCAGTCCCAGCCCCTGCGGGTCCCTGCAGGGATTCGGCTTCAGCGGTGACAGAAGCGGCCCTGGTGAGTCCTGTCCAGGCTGTTCCCTGCCTGGAGCTGTGACAGGGCTCTGGGGGGCACTTTGTGCTGTGTCCCTGGAGCTCCCAGGGTTCCCTCACCCCCATTCCTCAGCCTGGGAGCCCGGGATTCTCTCACATCCCAACCTCTCCGCAGCTTCCACCGGGGAGGCCCTGCTGAGCAGCCTCCAGCGAGCGGCCGAAGCCGTGGCCCAGGCCGTGCTCCCAGCGCCGGGGGGGCCCCAGCGGCCTCAGGGGAACCTCCCCGACGACACCTACGAGCCTGTCCGAGCTCCCTCCCCTGCTGGCAGCCCGGCCCCACCGGCCCCGCTGCCCTCTGTCCCCCGCGGGGCCCGAGGTGGGTCCTGCCGGGGGGCTGGAGGGCTGGGGGGTCCCCACCCACCCCGGTGGGTTTGGGTCCCCAGCTCAGCACTGCTGTCCCCACAGTGAGCCACCAGCCAGGGCTGGCCGGGGGCGGCTGGGAGGAGGTGGACAGCGGGCACAGCTCCCGGGAATCCTCGCAGGGACACGAGCGGAGCCACGCCTCGGACTCAGGCAGCAAATCCGGCAGTGACAGCCGCTCCGGGGCCAGCCGGGAGCTGAGCCACGGCACTGACAGGTGAGAGGGGCCCCGGGGGCTCCTGGGTCCCCAGGGTCATCCCGGGGGGCTGCCCTGCCCCTGGCACTGTCCAAGGGGCATCCCCAGGAACGCTGCCCTGGTGCTGCCGGCTGTTCCTCCTGGGATGTTTGGCCTCCCAGCCCTGGGTGGGCAGAGCTGCTTGGAGGTGGGGGGTCCCTGGCCCCTGGGGGGTGCTGGGTCTGTGCCAGACCCCAGAAGGGGGAAGCAGGCGTCCCCTGTGCCCAGCAGGCATGTCCCCAGCAGGGTAGATGCCGACAGCCCCGGTGACTGCCGGCGGGAGGTGAGCCTGGTGTCGGGGCTGACGCGCGGGGCCAGGGTCTTCCTCACCAGGGAGGAGGCTCAGCACTTCCTCAAGGAGTAAGTGTTGGAACTGGGGGCTTCTGGGGGCAACCTGAGCCCTTTCCACCCCCCTGCCTGGGCCTGGACCCCCATGGTGGGGAGGGGCTGCGAGCAACCGTGACCCCCCTCCCTGTCCAGGTGTGGGCTCCTGAACTGTGAGGTGGTGCTGGAGCTGCTGGGCCGGGCTCTGGAGGATCCCAGCGACAGCGTCCGCATGGTGAGCACAGGGTGTCCCCCCCAGTGGCCTGCAGGGTCTGGGGGCTGCCTGGCTCAGCCACGATCCCCCTTTCTGCAGAGATCCATGTCCGCTCTCTCCGCCCTCGGCTGCTCCGACCTGCTCTCCCCGGAGCAGATCTTCGCCGTGACCCGGCAGCACCTGCAGCAGCTCAGCCAAGGCAGCCCCGGGCCTGTGGCCAACCGGGCAACCAAGGTGACTCTGGGGACATCCCTGTGCCCAATCCTAGAGTGGGGGGACTCCCAGGACCAACTTCCCAGTCCTTGGGGACACATAGCTCTTGGGGATGGCTCTGTGCATGTCCCAGAGTGGTGGGATTGGCAGCCTCTTCTGGGAGCAGGGAGCCCAGGCGGGGTGATGCTCCCTCTGAGCCCTGCAAGGGGACGCTGGGGACAGTCCCTCTGCCTGGGAACAGGGTGGTTGGGCCCCTGTCCCGGTGCTGCTCTCACCCCGGCCCCTCCCGCTCCTCCCGCAGATGCTGCGGCAGTTTGAGGCCCTGTGCCGGGCCCAGCCCTCCCCGAAGGCCCCGCGCCTACCCCCAGCCCCCCCGGCGGGCTCGGCCAGGGACCTGCTGATGGACATCCCGGCCCTGGCCGGCGAGAGCATCCTGACCCCGCTGAGCCCGGCCCCCACAGCCCCCCCAGCCCCTGGTGAGGAGCTGGGCACGGGAGCGGAGCCCCCCGGGGCCGCGGTGCCGCCGTGTCCCTGCCAGCAGGGCGGGGGGATCGGGCTTGGGGGGGACATGGCAGCCCCTGGGCTGTCCCTGTTCGCTGGGATGGAGCTGGTGGCCCGTCCTGGTGCCGTAATCCGGCCAGAGTCACCATCGGCACAGCCACAGACACTGCCCCAGCCCCAGCACACGGGCACAGACATGGGGACGGACACGGAGGGCCCCCGGCAGCCCTCGGCCTTCGCCTTCCTCAACATGTAGCTGCTGTGGGGTCCCGGGGGCTGCGGGGGCTGTGCCCCCCTCCCTGCGGGGCCTGTGGTGTCCCGGTCCCTCAGGGGGACATGGGGTGTGAAAGGGTCCCTAGGGGGGACATGGGGCTTCCATCAGGTGACAATGGCCCTGTCCCTGGTGTTCAGAGTGGGCAGAGGGGCTTGGCCATGGCACCTCTCCTCTGGGCTGGAGGGGAGCCCAGGACCCTCTGGGGCTGGGCTGGGGGTGTTCTGGGACCCTGGCGCGGCCATGGGGTGCCCCTGCCCGGCCCCAGCTCCGGCCCAGGCTCTGTGGGGCCGAGGTGGGAGAAGGTGCCGTCCCCGTGGGGCCAGGACCCACCAATAAACCCCTCCTCGGGCCTGGGAATGTGTGACTTCTTCCTGCGCCACTGCTGGAGCCCTGCCCGTGGCTCTCCCCTCCGCAAGGGCCCTCCTTGCCCCACAGCCTCCATCACCCCACAAACCCTGACAGCCCCATGGCTCTCCCCTGCCCCAGGGCCACAGTCCCCCCTTCCCCACAGCTCCCCATGGCCCCCAGTGTCCCCCTTGCCCCACAGCCCCCCAGTAGCCCCACAGGTCTCCTCCTGCCCCACAGCCCCCCAATAGCCCAAAAGCCCCATTTTCCCCCCCAATAACCCCCACAGCCCCCCAATAGCCCAAAAGCCCCATTTTCCCCCCCAATAACCCCATCATTGTCCCCCCGCCCACGTGAATCAAACCCCGCCCTCTCGAGGACCCGCCCCTTCTCCCGTAGCCCCGCCCTCCTCTCACCTTATTGGCTCCTTCCCCAAGCCCCTCCCCTTCATTCTCCCTTCCCCTTCCCCGCCTCAGCCAATCCCGTCTCTCTTCGCTCCCGCACTCCCTCCACATTGGCCGCTGGCCGCAGGCCCCGCCCCGTGGGCGTGGCCGGACTCGGCCGTAAGTGAGGGGCAGGGGGGTTAATGGCGGCCGGGAGGGTCCGGGGGGGCCGGGACAGGGACACGGCCTCGGGTGAGGCGTTCGCCCCGGCCCTGACCCCCTGTCTCACCCTCTGCGTCCGCCCCGGGGGGGCTCGTTCGCTTGTGGGTGCGTGTAGCCCATCGCTGTGGGCGTGTGGGGATGGGGGGCTTGGGGGTTTGGGGGCTTGGAGGGGTGCGGGTCTGGGCTGGGGTCTGGGGTTTGGGAATTGGAGGGTACTGGAAGGGTCTGGGGCTTGTGGGGGCTTGGGGTTTGGGGACGTGGAATTTGGGGGTCTCTTGGTGATCTGGGGCTTCGGGGCTGCATGTCCTGGGGGCTCCTGGGAGGGGTCTGGGCCTTGGGGGCCCGGGGCTTTGGAGCTGGGGGGTCTGGGCCTTGGGGGTCTGAGGATATGGAAGAGTGGGTCATAGGGGTCTGGGGCTGGGTGTTCTGGGGTCCCAGGGCGGGGTCTGAGCCTCGGGGGTCCCAGAGGGTTTGGACCTATTGGAGGCTTGGGCTCGAACTTTGTGACCTAGGATGGGGTCCTGGGGGGTCCTGGGCCTTGGGAGTGGGGGAATCCTGGGGGGTTCAGGGTTATGGGAGCTTAGAGGCTGGGACTTGGGACCAACGTGATCCTGAGGGGATCAGGGATTTGGAAACTTAAGGACCAGGGCTTGCACCTGGGTCCTGAGGGGGGCCGTGTGGGGCCTGGGTCTTCAGGCCTAGGGGGTCTGGGCCTCAGGGGCTTGGGGTTCTGGGCCGGGGGCCCGGGGGGCTCTGGGTGGGTGTGCTGGGCCTGGGCTCTGGGCCTGAGCCCTGTTTTCCCGCTGTGAGCCCGGTGGTTTCCATGAGAGCCATTTGTTTCCCTGCATTGTGGAGCCCGAGGCATTGCCAAAGACTGTGGTGGAGCCCGGGGGGGTTGGAATCCAGGGCTGCAGAGGGAGGGGGTTTAGGATTTGGGGGCAGTTTGGGTAATAAATACAAAGAAATAAAGTGATGTGGTGTTTGCCTGGAACAGTGGCAGCTTCTGGCTCAGCACTGGGGATGGGGGATGAAGAGGGGGAGATGTGCTGCCCCTCTAGCTGGGAGGGGGCTCAGCCCTCCCTGTGCCCCCCTGGAGGGCACGGGCACTTCTGAAGGGCTGCTTGGCAGGGATTGGGAGCACTCGGTGCAGGGAGGATTCTTGGGAACTGTGCAGGTGGTTCCTCAGTGTCTGTACCTGATGCAGGTTGAGCTGAACCTCCCCATGTGCTCCCCTGGCAGCCACGGTCTGTGTAGGGTGGAAGGGGAGCAGGGCTCTTCTCTCCCGTGGTCCTGTGCTGGGATCCCGTCCCATAAACGGATCAGGCGGACATGGGACGGCGGGAGCGTGGGGCGAAGGCACTGAGGAGTTCACCTGGAGCCTCTCCAGGCCTGTGCTGGGTGTTGTTTGGCAGTGGAAACACGGAGGAAGGTGTCCTGTGGGAGCAGTTCCAGCTCTGTGCCGGTGCTTGCAGGAGCTGGAGCCCCCGGATGCTCCGTGCCTTCATTCTCTGCTCTGTGCTTGCAGGGCCCCTCCGTTGTGCTCCAGCATGAAGAGCACCCGCAGCTGCTCCTCCGTGCAGGGCTCCGGCGTCACCGACCTGGTGCTGACGGGGCTCCCGGCGCCGCTGTCCCGCCGCCCCGGCAGCGCCTCCCCCGCCAGGCTCGTGGCACGCTCCGTGTCCGTCACCGCCGACGGCAAACCCAAGAGGAATGCTCTGGTGAGCCCCAGTGCTTCATCCCTGCCGTGCAGGGAGGGTGTGCCTGGGATGTGGGATGTCTCCGTGCACACCCACATCTCTCTCGGTGTGGTTCCCCCACCGCCTGCCCGGCTCTGGCGCGGCACCACCTGCAAGATCGCTGCTCGTGGGTCTGTGCCCGGGGCTTTCAGGTGGGCAGAAAAGCAACCAGGGAGCTTCAGGCTTCCCTGCTTTCCCTTCCCTTTGCCTCCCTGCACCAGTTTCCAGCTGGAAACTCCTGATTTCCTGCAATCTCCTGCTGGGATTTCAGGCCCACCCTGCCCCTCGCTGAGCACCCTGTTCCTGCCGTGCTGGGGTCTCGCTGAGTGGGGGTTCCACAAAGGGAACGAGCCTCAGGTACTTGCTGGGCTCTGTAGGGATCCAGCAGTGAGGAGTCTGTGCTCTGTGCTGAGTAATCCCTTGGCAGCATTCCCGTGCCCTCGTTCCTGGGAGCTCGTGCTAAGGAACGTGTTCCTGCTGGCTCAGCAGCGCTGGAGCGAGGTGTCATTGCCCGCTCCTCAAGGAGAGCTTGGCAGCTCTGGGAGAGCGGGAACTCCGTGTCCGGGCTGTGTGAGGGGGGTGAGGGGAACACCACTGCCTATTTTGGGCTGCCAGGGAGCCTGCCTGTGCTCCTCCTGAGCATGGCTGCTGGATTGATCCCTGTGCTCCGCAGGAGGATGCGGGACCCCGGGCGATGAACAACCTGCGCAGGTCCAACAGCACCACCCAGGTGAACCAGCGGGTGAACAGTGCACACAGGTACAGCCCAGCCAGGGACTCGTGTCTGTCTGTCCTGGGGTGTGTCCAACCTCCCTGCGCCTGTGGGGGAACCAGAGCCGTTCCAAAACATGCATTGAGCTCCATCATGCACATCAGGCGTAAAAACCTGGCCTTGGAAAACCAAGGTCTGGGCTTTGGTTGGTTTTTTGGAAGGGAACTCCTTTGTTTAGGATTTCATAGAATCATGGAATGGTTTGGGTTGAAAGGGACCTTAAAGCTCACCCAGTCCCACCCCCTGCCATGGGCATGGTCACCTCCCACTATCCCAGGTTGCTCCAAGCCCCATCCAACCTGGCCTTGGACACTTCCAGGGACGGAGCAGCCACAGCTTCTCTGGGCAACCTGTGCCAGGGCCTCCCCACCCTCACAGGGAAGGATTTCTATTTTGGGAAATGAAGTGTATTTCTGTGGCTGTCACAAAACCCACTCCATTAATTCCAAGGATTCTCCAGGCTGTGCCTGGGCTGTGTGAGGAGACAAAAGTTCTCCCTCTCTCCCCAGTGCGCTCCGAATTGGGATTTTCTGTTCTCCTGTTGGTCTCTGCTCATCCCTATCACTACACACCACCCTGGAACCCAAAGCTCTGTGTAAAAATGAGTCGTTCATAGATATTTTTGGCTGTGTAAAGATTCTCCAGCCCTTTTTATCCCCTGTGTTACACTGGAGTATATCCAAATGCCCTGCACGGTCAGTCTGTGGCTGTGAGTTATCCCAGAACCCCTGTTCTCTCCTCTGTACCTTCCCTGGGTCTGGCTAAAGCTCGGAGCAGACAGGAGACTTCCTGGCCTTCTTTGAGAGTGGTGCAGGAGGAAGAAAGAAACTGGCAAGTCTGAGCAAAACTTCCCCGGAAAAGAAAACCACGTGGAACATCCTGGTGAGGACAGTGGGCTCAGGGGTGGGTGGGCTGGGTTGGCTCTGTGCTCCTGGGGGTGTTTGAGGAGGTGGGTTTGGTGCTTGCTGGCACTTATTCCTGCTGACTCCATGGCAGGATGACCAGCCCCGAGCATTCCCAGGCCCCTCCGGCTCCCACGGCCTGGAGCCACCCCCGGGCATGAGGAGGAAGGAGGCCACTGTGCTGCTGGCTGCCAACTTCACCGCCAACAACAGGTGGGAGAGGGGCTGCTGGGGCTGGGGGGGGGAGGAACTGCACTGGGAAAGCACCTGGAGAGGGGAGAGTGCTGGTGCTGACTCTCCTGTTCTCTTCTCTCCACGCAAGGAGCAACAAGGGCGCGATGGGCAACTGTGTCACCACCATGGTGCACAACAACTACTCCACGGCCGAGAAGGGCCCCACGCCCAAGAGCTCCAACCAGGCTCCCAGTTCCCTCAAGTGAGTGTGGTGGGGTCCTGGCTCAGTGCCAGGCTGGCCCCACAGTCCTGTGTCCCTGTGGCACAGGATGGGGCTGAGCAGCTTCACCTTCTGTCCCAGCAACGTTGTGAAAGCGACCTCGAACGAGGACGGGGAAGGCGGCGGCAGCTTCGCGAAGTCTCAGAAGAATTTCTCCAGCAACAACATCGTGACCCGCAACAACAACAGCAGCAGCAGCAGCAGCAGCGCTCCCAGGAGGAGGGAGGTGACCGAGGAGGAGGCTGAGAGGTGAGGGGAGAGGCAGGAGGACGGTGCCAGGCGGTGTGAGGAGCTCCAGCAGAGCTCGTTCCTGTCCAGTGGGGCTTCAGATTGGGGGAGGGCCCCCCTTAGCAACTGATTCACCCTCCCTGTGCCTTGGCTCTGTGCTTTGGGGTGTCATCAAAGGCACAGTTCCTTCCACCCCAATAGTCAGTCTGGGAACAAAGGCCTTGTTGATTTGGGGGGTGAGGGGACAGAAGTCCTGGTGCTGTGGACAAGCCACCTTTGCTCTGCTGTGGCCAGAGGGGTCGGTGCTGCCCAAGGAGGTCCTGGGGCCGTGCTGACCCTCCCTCCCTGTCCCCACAGGTTCATCCAGCAGGTGAACCTGGCTGCTGTCACCATCCAGCGCTGGTACCGCCGGCACTCGCAGCGGCACAGGACGGCAGCAGCGGCTCTGGGGCGCCTGATGGCCACCAAGAGGGAGGTTGGTCCTGTCCTGGTGGCTTCCAGAAGGGAGATTGGTCATATTCTGGTGGCTTCCAAAAGGGAAGTCAGTCCTGTCCTCTGCCCTGTAGCCCAGACCCCTCTAACACTCCTGTCCCACTCGTCATGTCAGTGGGGATTTGGGTCCCTTCAGTGACCTGACCAGGGCTGTGGGAGTCGAGGGGGGTCTGGCTTTGCATCCACCCAGTCCCTCATGGTCCAGAGAGCCAGGGAGGGTCCTGTCCCCACAGGGCTGTGCTGGCTGTGTCCAGGGAGAGCCTGGCTTTGCTTCCAGCAGGAACTCAGGCCCTGGGGCTCAGCACCACATAGCTCTGTTCCCCCAGCCCCCTCTGTGGGATCAGGCAGGTGCTGGCAGGAGCAGCAGAAATCTCCCTGAATTCCGATGCTCTGGACCAGGAATGCCCCGTCTCAGCTCATCCTAATGAATCCCTAACGAGGTGGCTCATTAGACTGACACAGCACTGCAGCTATTTGTGTTTCTTTGTTCAATTATTTATCCCGATAACGAAAAGCGCCGTCGCTCTGGCGTGTGAGAGTCTATTTTTAAGCCTCATCTCCTTGGTGGTTGCAGACCCAGATGATATAATAATAATAATTGCACTGAGTATCTAAAGAAAATGAGCTGCTCCAAAGCAGAGCTGTTCTGAGGGCTCCTCACCTGCGCAGAGGGCAGGTCGGGAGGATGGAAAACCTGGATATAGGGTGACCTCAGGGGTGGGTGCCCTCTCCTGCTTCTCAGTGGTGAGTGATGGAGAGTTCTCCCTAACATTTTCGACCCTCCTCTCTGGAAGGAAAGGCAGCAGCGGATGGAGGAGGGGAATATCCTGGATTTGCAGGAGAGGAAGGATGAGGAACAGCGGAAGATCCGAGAGGAGAAGGCGCGCCTGGCCCGGCGCGCGGCCATCCAGGTGGGCACAGGGCGAGCCCGTCGTGGCCTGTGTGCCTGTGTTTGTTGGCAACATCTGGCGAGGCCTCTGTGCATCTCCAGGGCCTTGGCATGAGGCAGGATCAGAGCCAGCCCTGGAAGTGGAATGCTCCCTCCGGAGATGGAGGTGCCATAGAGCAGTTTCCTGCTGCGCTCCTGCCAAGCCTTGGCAGCTCATCCCGAGCTTGTGAAGGCAGTGCTGGTTTCCATCTAGTTCTCAGGAAAATGGTGACCATGTTGAGACAGGGAGACTTCAACCTCCTTGGAGTGACCAAGGACTTGCATGCCTTGGGAACAGGACCCTCCTCAGGAGCCAAGCTCCCCTCCGTGCCCCTTGGCAGGAAGCAATACGTCATTGTCACCCTGTTCTTGCAGCTGGTGGTGCAGATGGGGCTGGCACAGGCTGCAGGGAGCTGGCAGTAGAGCTGGAGATGTTTTAAACCCCAAATTCTCTTTGCCTTAATTGGAATCATGTTCCACCGAGGGGGGGTATTGGGGGAGACACAACAGTGAGCAGCTGGAGGATGGCAAAACGCTGCCACAGCCTTGCAAACACATGCTTGTACCTTCCCAAATCTTCAGGACACCCATGGCTCCTCTGTCCCTGCAGGAGCTGCACCAGAAAAGGGCCCAAAAGGCCTTGGAGACAAAGTGCTTGGCAGAAGAAGAGCTGGTGCTGGTGAAGGGGAGCAGGAGGGTGCCCAAGAAGAAGCCTGGTGCCAAAGCTGCCTCGGCCAGGAACATCAGCCCGGCCGGCAGCCTCACCAAAGCCAACAACACTGGTGAGTCCCTCTGGCACGTCCCCAAGGCTTTGGGAGCAGGAGGAAGGAGCTGTTTGCCCCAGGGAGCTGCTTCCCAGGGGCTGGTTGTGGTGAGTGCCTAAGAACAGCCTGGTCTTGCAGAGCCCAATTCCCACCTGGCAGCTGTGGATCTGGAAGGAAGCGGCCTCGCAGCCCTCGGCTCCGTGCCCTTGCAGGACCCTGGGGCAGAGGACAAGCTGCAGGTGGGTCTGGCTGTGCCCCCTGGGGCTCCTGGCACCAGCTGCTCTTCCAGGGTGGCTTTGGAGCCTTCACTGGCTTTTGGGGAGACCTGGAAAACTCTGACTGCAAGGTGTGTGTTCTCCCATAGGATGTGAGCTCCAGAGAGACAGGTAATGAGGACCTGGAGACAGCGGTGACTGCTGGCAGCAGGGCCCCATCCAAGGTCACGCTCAATGAGCTGCTGGACACGCTCCGGCTGCTGGAGGAGGAGCCGGAGCTGCTGCCCCCACCCAAGCTCCTCAAGAAGGACAGACACGCCTGGACGGACAGGGTGAGCTGTGGGAGGAGGGTGGTGTGTCCAGCCTCGGACAGCAACAGCTGCCTGGTGAGAAACAGCTGGGTCACCGCTGGGGAGGGTGGTGGGGGAGCTTAGAAGGGCTGATGGAGGAGTTTGGAGGTGAAGCACTGAGTCTGGAGGTGGAGGATTTGTTTGGTGCAGTCAGGGCTTGGGAATCCACAAGGAGCAGCAAGGGCTGTGGTGGGAGGAGGGTTAGCCGAGGCTGAGGCTGGTTACTGGGGCCCAGTGGGAGGACTGGGCTCCAGCCATGGAGAAGAGCCAGCACCCCTTCTCTGAGCTTTCCTCTGGGTGCTCATTCACCATGGTGAATTCCCAGCAGGAGCCCAGCTCCAATTCCCTGACTGCTGATAACCTGGAGAAGTTTGGGAAGCTGAACCACTCGCCGGGGGTCCCCGAGGACGGGGCCTTGCTCTCGGAGGCCAAACTCCAAAGCATCATCAGCTTCCTGGACGAGATGGAGAGGTCGGAGCAGGAGAGGCCCAGGTCGGCTGCCTCGGCCACACAGCGGGAGGTGAGTCCTTGTGCTGGGGAGGTGGTGGGACCCTGGTGCGAGTCATCCCCCATCTCCCTGTCCTCATTCCAGGTGGTTCCACTGCCTGTTAATCATGTTTTTTCTGCTGTGGCAGAGTTTCCTCTTGGAAGAGGAGCTGGCTCACGTGGAGCAGGTGTCGGCTGTTGCCACGGAGGTGACAAGCTCCATGATGAAGCTGAAGCTGGAAGTGGAGGAGAAGAAGCGAGCCATCAGCCTGCTGCAGACAGCCCTGGTGCGTCAGCCTGCTGGGCAACCTGGGCCAGGAGCCTCACAGGGGGTTCTTGGGACTGGGGCTTTGAAGCACGTGATCAGGGCTCTGAGCAGGACTGACCCTTGATTTCATAGAATCATGGAGTGGTTTGGGTTGGAAGGGACCTTAAAGATCTTCTAGTTGGGACCTGGACTGAACTCTCTTCTCCTCTGTCCCACAGGGGGCTGGATGTTGCTGCTGATGGGGGTGGGAGGTGTGAGCACCAGGGGTTTGTTTGCCTCTGTCCCTCCTTACCCTGGCCTGTCAGTGCCTCCATATCCAGCAGTTATTCCCTGTACATGTGCTGGGAATGGTGTCACTCCTCCCTCTAATGTCTGGTGGCTGTTTCCTCCCTGCCCTCCACAGACTCAGCAGCGGGAACTGACGGACCGACACGTCAAACAGACCGAGCAGGAGCTCAGCCACCAGCTCAGGCTGCAGAGGGAGCAGTATGAGGCAGCTATCCAGAGGCACCTGGCCTTCATCGACCAGGTAATGCCTCAGCCCAGCTTCTGAAGGCAGAGGCTGAGGTGGCTGCACCTGCCTGATGCCCTGTCCTCGCCCTTCCCAGCTCCTCGATGACAAGAAGGTGCTGAGTGAGAAGTGTGAGGCCGTGGTGGTGGAGCTGAAACAAGTGGACCACAAGTACGGCCAGAAGATCAGCCAGATGCAGGAGCAGCACGAGCTGGTGAGGGGACAGGGAAGGTGGGGGGACATGTATGTCCTGGTGCTGTGGGAGAGCTGGTTGGTTTGGCTCAAATGGGGACTCTGCCCAGAGCAATTCGGTCTCTGTCACCTTGGTGGGGCCTGGTCACTTCAAAGAGCCCTTTCCTGTGCACAGAAGGTCCCTGTCACCACAGAGCTTTTTTGCCCTGGCTCCCCAGGAGGCTTCTGTCCTCTGCTGCCCAGAGCCAGGAGCATGGCACTGACCAAGGGACAGCATTCACTCCCAGGCTTTGCCTGGAGAGACCCTTCCCACACATCTGGCACAGGTTGCCCAGAGAAGCTGGGCACTTCCATCCCTGGAAGTGTCCAAGACCAGGTTGGATGAAGCTCTGAGCAATCTGGGATAGTAGAGGGTGTCCCTGCCCATGGCAGGGGGTGGCACTGGATGAACTTTAAGGTCCCTTCCAACCCAAACCATTCTGTGATTTCCATGATCCTGCTGTAGGCAGAGCTCTCCCAGGCTGGGGGTGACCAGTGGGTTGTGCTTTGGCTGTGTAAGGATTCTCCAGCCCTTTTTGATTAAAACCAGCACTGGCACAAACCTATTGTCATGGAGGAATTTGTATCCTCTGGATCTGGGTGCCTTCCAACCACCCTGGCAGGAGCAGGGGTGCTCTTGGAGCTGAATGGAATAGGACTAGAATGGAACATGAGGTGTGTGAGCAACAGTAAGAGCTCTGGGTGGATTTCTCTGGGCTGTTGCCCTGCCCAGCACCCAAACATACCCAGAGAGGGCTGGCCCTGGCCCTGCCCGTTGGGCTGTACCTCCCCTCACCCCCACAGACCCCTGCCCACCTCTGCCCTGCCCGTGGATCCCACAGACACGGCAGTGTGGATTTGCCTCTCTCCTCTCCCCCACAATTCCCCTTCTCTCTCCATCCCCTCCTTTCTTTCTCCCCAGGTCTGGCGCACTTTGGGCCCCTTTTGTGAGGTAAATGTGGTCTTTGCTCTGTTCTGTGCCTTGCCCTCTGCTCTCGTGCCCTGACCTGCTCCAACCCTTGCCAGAGGTCCTTCCATGGCAGGGGGAGGGAAGGCTGGAGAGGAAAGCACAACCACACAGGGACAGATGGGCTGCCCTGCATGCAGAGACCCTCAGCAGCCCCCAGCTCCCCTCTCCTCTCCATCTCCTGCTCTCATGTCTTGGCCAGTGAGCATTTTCCCAAGGGTTTTACTCTTCCCACCATCCCACTGGAGACAGGGGAACGCACTGGGAGAGTGTGTGGCCGGTTCTCTGGGCTGGATGAAGGCACCTGGCCGGGGCTGTGTGACTGTCCATGTGCAGCCCTGGCCCTCTGCTCTTCCCTGCAGCTTCCTTCCCAACAGCCCGGCTTCCAGGCTCCTGGGGGTTTTCTCTCACGGCTTCTCTCTGAACTTTTCCCGTTTGCTTCCAAACAGGAGATTAAGAAACTGAAGGAACTGATGAGTGCAACTGAGAAAGTCCGACGGGAGAAGTGGATCGAGGAGAAAACCAAGAAGATCAAAGAAATCACTGTGAAAGGTATGGGCAGGTTCCCTCAGCAGCAGCTGGAGCTGGGACGGTGCTGGAGTCAGGTCCGGCTGGTTCTGGAGAGTTTGGGAAGAGTTCCTCAGTGTGGGCAGTCTCTGCTCCCTGGTTTTGGTGGAGCAGGTGCCAGAGGGCAAGAGCACCTCTCTGTGCTCATCCCCCTTTCCCACCAGCCCCTTGCCGAGTCCATGTGCCCGCAGCCCCCGGGGCTGGGATCCAGGCAGCCCCGGGGCCGAGCCGTGACCGTCCTTCCCGCTGTCCCAGGGCTGGAGCCGGAGATCCAGAAGCTCATGGCCAAGCACCGTGAGGACATCCGGAAGCTGAAGCTGCTGCACGAGGCCGAGCTGCTGCAGTCGGACGAGCGGGCGGCCCAGCGCTACGGGCGGCAGGCGGAGGAGCTGCGGGGGCTGCTGGAGCGGCAGAAGGAGGAGCAGAGCCAGCGGGAGCGGGAGCGGGTCCGGCAGCGGTGGGTCGGGGGGCACAGCTCCGGGACGGTGTCTGGCACCGATCTGCTGGTGGGTTCTCAATATTTGCAACTCCACGGGGAGCAGCCCCTTCCCACCAGCCCAAGGTGGGAGATGGCACTGAGCCGGGAGCATCCTCTGGCATCACGGAGGGGGTGGGATGGGGCAGGGCGGAGAGGTGGCCCCAAGGCACATCCCTGAGGTGCCTCTGCCCCGCAGGTGTGAGCAGCAGCTGGAGCAGGAGGAGCAGGCGCTGGAGCAGCAGCGGCGCCGGCTCTACGCCGAGGTGGCCGAGGAGAAGGAGCGGCTGAGCCAGCAAGCGGCCAGGTCAGTGAGCTGGGGCACCCCCAGAGCTGTGGGGATGGGCTCCCTGGGTCAGGCTCCCATGGCAAGAGGGCCAGTGCTGGTGTGGACGCTGGGAGCTGTGTCTGTGCAGGCAGCGTGCGGAGGTGGAGGAGCTGCGGCGGCAGCTGGAGGCCAACAGCTCAGCCCTCAGCCGGGCACTGCGCGAGGAGAGCGCCAAGGACAGGGAGGAGCAGGAGAGGCGGCACCAGGTCTGCTTTCCCCTCATCTCTGGGCTCTGAGTGGCTGTTTTTGGGTGCTGGCACCATCCTGCCAAGCCTCATCCCCTGTGTGTGTTGGTACCATGGAGCCCTGTGCCGCAGTGCCAGGGGCTGCTTCCAGCTGGTGTGGGATGCTGCCAGGGCTGAGCTGTTGTTTTCCTGTCTTCTTACAGGCAGAACTGAAGGTGCTGAAGGACCAGCTGGAGATGGAGAAGCAGGCCTGGGAGGCCAACTACATGAAGAAGGAGGTAATGGCAAGAGCTCTTGTCCAAAGGTGCCACCTGTGGGCTCTGAGAGGGATTGAGGCTACGTTTTCCATCTCTATCCCCAGGAAGCCTGGCTGCTCTCCCGGGAGCGGGAGCTGCGGGAGGAGATGAGGAAGGAGAGGGACAAAGAGATCGAGCTGGTGATCCAGCGTCTGGAGGCTGACACATCCTTGGCCAAGGAGGAGTGTGAGAGGGCAGCGGAGAACAGGTGAGGGGGAGAGGGAGGAGGGAGGTGCCGGGTCCTCAGCAGGCTGGTCCCCTTTCCCTGCCCCCTGCACATCTCTCCAGCGAGCTCTGGAGCAGCTGGAGAGAAAGGAGTGGATTGCAGGGATGAAGTTTGCCTCTTACCTGAGGACACAGCCCTGAATCTCCCATGGGGCAGATGTGCTGCTGTGCCCTAGTCCCTCCTGCAGCACGTTAGGGCTGGAATGACCCCTGCAGTGCTGGGATGATGCAGACTGGCTGTCCTTCCTCCCGACAGGATCAAGAGGATCCGGGACAAGTATGAGGTGGAGCTGCAGGAGCTGGAGCGGTCCGAGCGGAAGCTGCAGGAGCGCTGCAACGAGCTGAAGGGGCGGCTGGCTGAGCTGGAAGGGGAGAGCATCCGTCTGCAGGGCCTGCTGAAGCACAAGGAGCAGGAGGTGGAGGAGATCCGGAAGGTGGGCGAGGAGCAGAGCCAGGGTGCCCTGTGCCTGGATGCCGGTGCAGGACCAGCTGGCCCAGGAGCACAGCGGCCTGACTGAGGGGATCCTGCAGGAATTCGTGGACAAGCTGGTGGGGATGGAGGAGGAGAACACACAGCTGAAGGCGGAGATGGCGGAGCTGAGGGCCCGGCAGCGCCTGGAGCTGGACAGGCTGGTGCGGGAGAAGGACCGGGAGCTGGAGGAGGTTCACAGGAGGTGAGGGAGCCCGGGTGGTGCAGGAGCAGGGCCACAGGAGTGCAGCTCTATCTGCACTCCTCCCTGGCAGGAGCCCTGGCCAGGATCACTGTCAGCTCCTGAGGGCTCTGCCGTGGCTCACATTGGAGACCTGTGATGGGGGAGAGGGACTGAGCTCCCCGGGGTTGAAATCGCCCCCTTGGGCAGGGCCCAGCCCGGTGTTTGGAGCTGGGCTCCGGGGTCCTCATCCCTGTGTCCATGCAGGGTGAAGTCGGCGGTGCAGAGGAAGGAGGAGAGCGTGAGCAGCCTGCGGAAGCAGTACGAGGTGAGTGGGGTGGCCCCGGCCCTGGCTCCGGCCCTGCCGGGCACCACGAGCTCCCCCTTGTGCTCCCTTGCAGGCGGCCGTGCAGAGAGCCAACCTGCTGGAATCCCTCCTGGAGCAGCAGCGGCAGCTGGCCACGGAGTGACTGTCCTGCCGGGCAGGGAGCGGGGCCGGGGTGCTCCGGGGTGCTGCTGGGGCTGGGGTCGGGGTCAGGCTCTCCCCTTGCTCAGCCCTCATTCTCCACAGCCCAGTCCTGGTGCCGTGGCCATGCCAGGACACTTGGTGGCCTTTAGATGTTCAGGAGTTTTGTTCTGACAATAAATCTGTGCTGGTTTCTTCAGCTGGTTCTGTAACTGCATGTCAGTGCCAGTGCTGGCTCTTCTGCAAGGTCTGTGCCCACTCCCACCCTCCCTACCCCACTCCTGCATCCCGAGACCATCCCTTGCTCCAAGGGTTCCTGGCTCCCTGCTCTGCACCCTGCTTCCCCTTCTAAACTGAAATATCCAGGAGGATGCAGGAAGGCAGAGCCAGGGCCAGGATGTGATCCCACAGCCTCTGCTACCTGCAAATCTCTCAGCACCCCCTGACAGGGCTGGGAAATGCCTGGGCTGGGCCGGTGGCATCTGTTTCCTCTCTGGGAATGTGCAGCCGCTCAACCATAGCCTAGTCCTGGTCCTGATCCTGGTCCCTGCCCAGAGCCGGGGCTCGGAGCTGGTGGCTGGCAGATGTTTGCTCAGCAGAGTCCTGGGATGTTTCCCATCTGTCCCTGTGCTTGGCTGGGGCCTCCCCCTGCCCCACAGCAGTGCAGCAGAGCCCCCACAGTCACATGGAGCCACAGGGGGACCCTTTGTCACCACAGGAAGCTGCAGAGGAGCTTGGCCACTTCTCAGCACTGTCCTGGTGTGGGCTCCTGGCTGCAGCTCCCAGGGGCGGTGTGATCCCAAGGCAGCCCATGGAAACCCCTTATCCCTGCTCCCTTGACATGGGTGTCTGGGGCCACGAGTGGCAGTGGGTGCCTGGGTCCTGTTCAGGAGAGCCATGGCAATGGCAGTCTCTGTCCCCCTCTCCCTGTTGGGTCAGGCTGGAACACTCATCCCGGGAAAGGCTGGGCACGGCGCTTCTTCCCGCTGTTGTTGCTTTTCCAAGGAGTTTCCTGAGCTCTGCCTCTGACCCTGCACAGCCTCCACATGGGCCATCCTGAGCCTGTGCCGGCAGCTCCTGCTCTGGGAAATTTGGTGTGGGAGAAGTGGGCTCAGTCCCTTCCCTGCTCATCCAGGGGGCTGTGGACCCTGTGTAGGACCTGGAGCCCTGTCTGGCTTCGCCACTGTGGGGTGAACAGTCCCCGGGGTGTCCCGTGTGCCCGGCCCTGCTCCTGCCACCGCCCTGGAGCTCCCTGTGCTCCGGCACCTCCCCGGCCTGGCCCCTCCCCGGCATCGCCCGGGCTAATTTCTAGGCCAGTGCCCGGTTCAGGCATGAATAAATCAGCACCGTTGCATAACAGGGATGCAGATTTTCACCGGATGGCTGCCTGTGCCTGCGCCAGCGCCCACCTCCCGCCCCTCGGGGGTCCCGCGGGACCACTGGCCACATGGCACGAGCCGTGTCCCTGTCCCTGCCCGCCCGTGGCACGGCGGGTGCTCAGCCAGGCTGGCGGTGACTGTGTGGCCACTGCAGGCTCTGCCAAAGATCCCCAGTTAAGGAGCCCCTCTCCCCCCGGGTCCCCCGGGTTAGGAGGGATGAGGGAGCCCCTTGGCTGCCGTGTGGCCGCTGGGCTGGGAAGGAGGTCAGGAGCACAGGGGGCTTTTGGCAGCCGCCGCGCAGGGATCGCGGCTCAATCTGGTGTCTGCCCCGGAGGGGATTAGCTACAGCCCCAGACAAATCAGCCAGGAAGCCGGAGCAAGTGGCAGGATCCAAGCAGGGTAATCTTCCCTTGGGAAGGATCTGTAATCTCTCCTGCTAATTAGGGCGATGGCAGTGGCACTGCCCGGTCTGGGAGGTGGATGTCAGGGGCACAGACGGGCAGTGCATCTGGATGACCCTGACACGGCTCAAGGCTGCTCATGAATGTGTCGAATGGAGCTACAGGGGGTGTCACCTGGGCAAGGAGGGTTCCCAGGCATGGGGCTGCTGTGCTCAGGGTCCCATCTTGGCTGAGGGTCCTGGGCCTTCCCAAGGAGGGCAGGGTGGCACAGCAGAGCTGGGTAGGCACACGCTCCATCCTCATCCCCTTATCCCTATCCCATCCTTATCGCAGTGCCATCCCCATTCCCCTCCTCTCCATGTACTCTTCCCCCTCCCATCCTCACCTCCCTTTCACCCTGATCCTCATTCTCATCCCCATCCCATCCCACCCTCATCCTCATCTTCCTCCCCCTCCCATCCTCATCCCCATCCCCATCTTCATCCCTATCCCATCCCAACCTGTCTTAGACATGGGCAGGAAGGGACACTGGGCACCAGGGCTGTCACCCCCAACATAACAGCCAGGTGATTTCACCCCCTCCTGCTTTCCGAAGCCCCTGCTGTCCCTTCCCGGCGCTGGGAAGGCCTTGAGCTCATCCCTCCTCTCACCAACACTGGGACTGGCCAGTGTGCTCAGAATGCTGGGGGCAGCTGGGGCGGGTGGGTCTCTGGGGTGGGTGGGTGGGTGCCTGGTGTGTGCTCAGCACAGCCACCCCCCTGCATCCCACCTGGATGTGACTCAGCCGGTGCCGGCTCAGCCACTCATGGGGCAGGGCTGGCCGTGCAATCTGCCCCCGTGGCACATGGCCACCCACTCCCAAAGGACTGTGGCCACTCCAGTGGGTGCCAATGGCACCACAGCCCTAAGAGAGCCCAAATCCCCCCACCCAGGGTGCTGGGCACCGTGCTGGGGTGGTGCCGCATTGGCTTGGCTGCTCTGGGGCCAGGGAAGGCATGTGGTGGAGCTCAGGGGGTCCCACAAGTGGGGACGTGGCCCTTTGCACATCCAGAAGGGATCAGGGACCCAGTGGGGGGCTGGTGGGGGGCACTGGGGTGCCCGTGCCAGCCTTCCAACTGGGGGTCACCAAAATGAGTGATGGGGGGTCAGCAGTCCCCTGCTACCCCTGGCAGAGGGGCCTGAGGGTCGTGTGGGTCAGAGCTGCTCTATAGCAGAGAAATGCAGAGGCGCAGGAGAAGGGAGAAGCTGGCTCCAGCATGTTTGTTCTCCCAGCAGCCGGTAATTTTTCCAGGCCTGTATCTATTTGTGGCAACGTGACATGTGCAGCGTGGTGCTGTTCTGTGCAGGCTTGAAGCTTGTAAAAAATTAATCGTGTACGCAAAATTTGGCTTTAAATATTCAAACCAACGGTGGGGATGTGTGAGCCCCGTGCTCAAAGCTGAGCCTGCCAAGGGGTGGGCAGAGGGCCTGGACGGGGGTTCCTGGGAAAGGGTTGGGACAGGATGGGACAGGACTGTCCCACCATGACCCTGGAGGAAAGTCCAGCCTGGGTCCTGGGTGGGTTTGGTGACCAGCTGTGGTGCAGCTTTGCCAGGGTCTGGCTGAGAGCTGCTGTGGGCTGCGTGTGAAGCTGTGGGATGTTCCCTGCCATGGGAATCTGTCAGGTTTTGGAGCATCCTGTGTTTCCAGGGCACACTCCCATGTGCCAGGGCTGTGGTGTCGAGCAGACGAGGCCAAGCCATGTGGCCCCACATGGGGCAGCCCCACAGCAAAAAGGGGACCCTGTGCCATGGCTGGGAGCTGCTGGGGAGCTCCGCTCCCCCCTCGGGATGGGGCTGGGGGGCTGCAGGGTGAGGGGCTCTGATGGGATGCTGGGGCAGAGATGGGAAGCAGGGGATGTATGTGAGGAGGGGCTGGCTGGGGGTCGAGGGGTTGGCTGGGGGGCAGAACTGCCTGTCCTGTCCCATGTCCCATCCCTGGTCCTGTCCCATGTCCCATCGCTGGTCCCAGGAAGCCAGTGGTGCCCAGGATGGGTGAGCACGGGAGCAGTTCTCTGCCTGGGGGCTCCTGGCCCTGCTCCAGGCAGGTCCCAGCCCCACTACTGGGGGTCCCAGGCCTGCTCCCGGGGGTTCCATCCCCACTCTGGGGGGGGGTGGCTGCCCCTGCGGTGTCCCAGCCCTGCTTGGGGGGGACCTGGCTCTGCTGTCGGGGGGTCCCGGCCCCGCTCCGGGGTGGCGGCTGCTCCTCGGGGGTCCCGTCCCCTTTCGGGGGGTCCCCACGGGCTCCCTCCATCCCGGCGGGACCGCGCGGGGGCGGCGGCGGCGCATCCCGGAGGGGAGGACGCGGGTCCCGGTGCGGTCCCGGGGCTGCGGCTCCTCCACCTGCCGCCCCCGCCCGCCCGGTCCCGCCGCTCGGCGGCGGCGCGGCCCCTCCCCGGGGCACGGGGCGCGGGGCCGCGGGGCCGCCATGGAGGAGGAGCCGCCGCCGCCGCCGCCGCCGCCGCCGTGCCCAGCGCGGGGCCAGCGGCAGCCGGCGGCCGTGGGGCTCCCGCCGCCGCCGCGCCATGGGCCGCTTCCCCGCCGCCGCCGCTGCCATGGCGGCCGCCTTCCTGAGCCCCAGCCTCGCCTTCAGCTCCCACTTCGACCCCGGTAAGTGCCGCAGCCCCGGGGCCGCCGGACCCGCACCCCTTGCCCCGCGCCGAGCCTCCCCCGGGCAGCCCCCCGCGGTACCGCGCTCGGCTCGCTCAGCCCCGCACCGGCTGCCCGCCCGGTGCACCGGGAACGAGCATCCCCGCACCGCGAGCCGAGCATCCCCTCGCCCTCATCCCCGGGAATGTCACTGGACGGGCTCCCGACCCGCCGTGCTTGGCCACCGTGGGACTCCCCGCTGTGGTTCTGGGACATCGCGGTGCGGCGGTGGCACATCCCGGTGTGGCAGTGGGACATCCCGGTTTGGCGGTGGGACCCCCCGGTGTGGCAGCGGGGCGGTGGGATCGCTGCCGCAGCCGGGCGGCATTTTGTTTCCCGGGCTGGAGCGCGGAGGAATCCGGGGGCTGCGGTTGCCTCTGAAGGCATCTCCGGGATTGAAACGGAATAATAACGACAGGGAGGATGGTGATGGTGAGAGGGAGGAAGACGGAGCCGGGGCTGAGCCCCCACCGCCTGGGACAGCCGCCGGCCGGAGAGCCGGGGGCTGGGGGTGCCCGCCCGGGCTGGGGGTGCCGGCGGAGCTGGGGGGGGTGCCGGGGCAGGGCAGCGGCGTTTTGGGGCGCAGGCGTTATGTAAGCGCCGTGTCCCGGCCGCGGCGCAGCTGCAGGAAGATGCTGCAGCCGCGGAGCAGCGCGGGGCTGGCGACTGCGGGTGCGTGTTTGGGGCTGCAGCCGCCGCAGCCGCCCCTCACCGCCGCCTCCCGCCCCTCGCAGCCGCCTCGTGTCCCTCCGGTGCGGGGCCGGCTCTGCGCGGGCACCGGGACCCCTCGTGGGAGCGTCCGGCGGGCGCTCGGCTCCGGCCCTTTGTTTACCAGCCCGGGATAACGCGTGTCGGGTCCGGCACCGAGCGGTGGTGCCGCGGCTCCCGCCGCTCCCGGCGCCTCCTCCGGCACCGCGAAGGCGGCGAAGCGGTGCCCGTGCCGGGCGCGGGGTGCCGGAGGCTCCGGCTGTCGGTGCCGGGCTCCCGCATCCCTCCCCGCCGCCTTCCCGCTCCCTCCTTCCTCCGCTGCTCCCGCTCCCCCGGCTGCGCGCGGTCGGAATCCGTGGGGGGATTTGGAAATGAGCCGCATCAGGACTCGCCGAACGGGGACTTTGTCCCCGACCGCTCGTTATTTGTTTCTAAAACCTCGTTATTTGCACCTAAAATGCGGCAGCGCCGGGAAGGAGCCGATTGTCGGGCTCAGCCCCGGGGGGATTTTGCTCCGGGTTTTGGTGAGGCTTCGACTCCGTGCGAATCCTGCCAGCCTGGGGATTCTCAAGGCATGTTTGGTTTAAAAGCCCTTCAGCACGGTTTCCATCGCTGCCCATCATGGTGCTGCCAGGCCCAGAGCTCGGCGCTGCTGTGCAGCTGCCACCCACCAGCACCGGGAGGGGAATTAAAGAGAGGAACAATCCATATTCTGGGTTTCATGGCTTTGTGGATTTGGTCTGTGTGGCAGCAGCTCCTGCCTGTGTGGCATTGAGGCTGCCTGTGCCAGCCTGGCTCCCTGGGGCTGGCTCGTGCCTGGGGTTGGTCAGGAGGAGCAGGAAGCGATTTGTAGGGCACGGTGGCACCACAACTGGGACAGGACGGGAGAGGCTTAGGGGCGCTGGTTCTGCAGAGGGGAGCATCTCCTCCTGGGCCCACATTCCCTGGAAAGGGGTGGTTGGAAGCCACTGCTGCCAGGACTGGGCCATAGGTGGCCTGCTGGCATGGAATGGTGACAGTGGTGTCACCCGGGGCAGAGGTGCCACAGGGATGTGCTGACTGCAGCTGCCCATGCTCTGGCTTCACCTGCCACTTTTGGCTCCTCTGTCCGATGCACCTGTGTCAGGCTGAGCCAGCTGTGTCTGGGATTCATTCCCTCTCAGTGCCTGGGGCTCTGGGAAAGGGTCCCAGCCCAGCAGCCTCGTGGTTCCCATCTTGTTTTGCCCATCCACAGGCCGGGCCCGGAAATGCTCCTGCACGGAGCCACCTGTGGAGCACAACCACCCTTCAGCAAGAGGCACTGCTGTGCTGCCTGCCCCAACATGTATCCCAGATCTCCTGGGCTTCCCGTGGGAACTGAGTGCCCACTCCCTGACCTGGAAGTGCCGTGACCTGCCACAGCCCGGCTGAGCAGACGGTGCTGGGAGGCACCAGGCAGAACTGTTGGGGGTCAGCCAGGGCTCGAGGAGCTGGGGGGGGGGACGGGGAATCAAGGCCAAGGGAGAGTTGGGGGTGTCCCCCTAGCCCTGTGTTTTCGGACCTGGCTGGAACCCACTGCCACCCACCCACTGTCCCAGGCCTCACATGGACAACAGCTCTGGGAGTGCTGGTGCTCCGTGTCCAGCACCACCATCTACTCCTGGCATGAGGATGGGAAAGGACTTGGGGAACCGTGGTGGCAAAGGGGCTGTTGCAGCCAGAAGAACCCCAGCAGCCCAAATGGGGGCCAGGCATGCCCGTGCTCCCACCCTGGCACCAACCGGGCTGTTGGCTGCTGGCAATGCTGCAGAAGGACAAGGGGAAGGTGTTGTTGGGACTGGACACAGAGGGGGGTCTGAGGGTGGTGGGAGCTCCTGGAGAGGAGGTGACAGGGGTGGCAGCACCCTGACTGGTTTCCTGTCTTGCCACGTGCTTCCCATGGGGGCTCAGTGTGTGGGAGGTGCAGGAGGTGCTGTCTGTCTGTCCAGGCTGACGGGCAGCAGGAGCTGGGCACATGGGCAGGGGGTGAATCCCACTGCCACAAGGATGCCAGGGGTGGGCAGAGGTGGGGGGGGGCATGTGGTGAGCCCCCTGTCCTGCTCAGGGAATGATGTTGGCACTGCACAGCAGGGCAGCTGGGCCCTGCTTGGCTCAACAAGGGAACGGAGCCAGGATCCTTTTCCCCAGGGGTGCTCCCCCTTCTCCCCTCCCTCCCTCCTACCCCCCCCACGGGCGGGCATGTTCTGGACGGTGACACCGATCCTGTCAAAGCCAATTAGGAGAAATTAATTTGCCAGGGTTGAAAGGGCCCTGCGCTGCCGGCGGGACCGGGCTGTGACTCACGGGCTCCCTGCCCGGCACTCCCAGCCCTCCCTGGGACACCCTGTGCCAGGGCAGCCCGTGGCTCTGCCCGCCCCCAGCACTGCATCCTCCCAGCCAGAGCAGGGCTCTGGTGCCCACCCTGCCATGAGCCTCAGGCCAGGCCTTGGCACCCTGGTGACACCGTGAGAAGTAGGGCAGGAATGGCACTGCCAGCGTGGTGCCCAGTGTGGGTTAAGCCAGGGGTTCTGCATCCAGCTGGGGGTCTGTGTTTAGCTGGGGCCCTGCCTGGTCCTGGCTGCCTGTGGCCAGGTGACACATGCATCCCAGGTTTTGCCTCGTTGGTGTGACACCACCTGCCATGTGCCAGGCTGATTCCCTGGGCTGGAAAGTCCCAGGGTCTGGGTCAAAGGGGTGGTTGGGCCGCTCTGGTGCTGTGGCTCAGCCTGTTCCCACCCCGTGCCACACCAACCCGGCAAGTGTAGAGGTGCTGGGACCCAGTGCCCGGGACGATGGGATGGAGGGGTGGTGGGATGGAGGAATGATGGTCTGACCGTGTGCTGCTGCCGCCCCAGGGCTCAACTGGCTCCGTCTGCTCTCCTGCCCCAGCAAACACCCTGACACATCCCCGGGGGAATTCGCTCACGGAGCTGAGGCAGAGGGATCCCGCAGGGATGTGATGTGGGGCTGGAAGTGATGGGCTGACGAGGAGAGGAGAGGAGCCGCTCTGTGCTGAGTCAGCATGCCCACTGGCAGGAAAACAAATCTCCTGTGGGCATTAATCCCCCTGACAGCCCGGGAAGTGCCGTTGGAGTGCGTCGCAGCCATCTCAGGGCACCCACTGCCATTGTACCGTTTGCCATCGGCTGTTCCAGCCCTGCTGATGGGGGACATGGAGCACCTCGGGATGTCCCAGAGCTGGCACAGGGCTTGTGGTGGAGGGTGGAACCGACCAAGGGACAGTGAGGATGTGGGGCTGGTGGGTTTGGGAGGGCTCAACACCAAAGGAAGCAGAGCAGGTCAAGGACTTCCCCCAGAGCCACTGTCCCACAGCCTGGGCTGAAGGCAGGAGTGTCGGGGGGGTCCCAATTCCTCTCCCTTCCCCCCTGCCAGCCATGTCCACGTCCTCCCTGCAGCCTGGTGCCAGCAGCTGGGTTAACACCGCTTGTTTTAATTACTGGAGCGAAGGAAAATTCCAGCGTAGGCAAACGCAGTAAGTGGAGCAGCACTGCCCGCCTGGCTGGGCAGGGTACCCATGGGCTCCCAGGCTCCTGTCCTGGCTGTGCCAGGCTGTCCCGCTGCTGGGCCACCATATCGGACCCCATGGCTCTTCATCTTTCCGAAATACCCGTGTGTTTGTGTGCTCCTCGCCTGTGTCCCGTGCCCACCCTCGGCCTTCCCTGCTGCCATCCCTGCGGCAAAGGGATTTTCCAGGCTCCCTGTGTCCACCCTCGCCACCCCTGCTACAATTCCTATGGCAAAGGAGGGATTTTCCAGTCTCCCCAGTCTGTGTGTACCTGTGCCCGTGGGTGATTTGGGCACCACGGACCGGTTGAGAGCAGGAGGGTGGCAGGGTAGCTGGTGCCCAGCGTCCTCCTGCTCCCTGTGGTGGTGGGGGCTGGGGCAGCGGGGTCTGGGCTGTGCCAGCTTTTCGGGGCTGCGGTGGGGGGCAGAGGTGGACCCCGTGCCCGGGTTCCTGACCGCCCCATGGAGCATCCCCTGGGCCGCCTCGTGCGCGGGCCCTGCTCCTGCACGGCCCCCCTCCAGAGCCAGAGCTCTGGTTTCATAACGCCGCCGAGCATTTTGGATATAAATAGGCTGCCCCGCTCGCGCTGCCGCTCCCGCGGTTACGTAAACGCTGCCGTGCCGGCTGTGGAGCCTCGGCGTGGCCGGTGCCACGCGCTGCCGGCGGCGGGACCGCGGTGCCATGTGCCCGGCACCGCTCCCGGCGTGGCACTGCCCCCGGCACCGCTCCCGGCGTGGCATTCCCGGGGTCCATGGAGGGATCCCTACCTGGGACCCTGCCAGGAGAGGGCTGGGTGCTCCTGCCAGGCACCAGGGGCTGAGGTCACTCCCTGTCCCTCGGGACAGCGGGTTTGCTGGGATGCCACCAGAACATGCCTGGCTGGCGTGGGCTGGGCCTCACCACCCCCACGCAGAGCTCATTTAAAACACCAAGCACGAGAATTTGGTATAAACAGTCAATTTGATCTTGCTTTGCTTGTCTATTATTCTTTTTTTATTACAATATATCATTATAACTCTAATATTCTGTGGTCCAAATAGACTATATAATTATGTATAAAAATACAGTATATGTAATTCTATATATGATTTTGTGTATAATTCCATATATAATATTAATGCTATATACAATAATAGTATATTATTATTACTATATATTATTATAATATATAGCATTATTAGAATTACATTATAATACTTATAATACTTATATTATCATTATAATAATTATATTAGTATTTTCCCTGGAAATGGAGGGAGCTGGCGGTTCCTGGCTCTGCATCAGGGCTTGCTTTGATGGAGGAACTTGATTTTTTGTCCCTAATCAGGCTGACACGTGTGGTGTGTGTGCAGCAGCGCTGGGGCTCGGCCTTTCCCTCGTGCAGTCCTTGTTTTTATTTCATTGCCTCAGAAAATGATGGATGATTTTAGTTTATTTTCCGTCTATTTATGGTTTTTTTGCTGCTGTTTCAGCCCAAGATGGTAAAACCAGAAATAAGGGGCTGAATCAATCCTTTTGGTTAAATAAGCCACATTAGAAGATACAGAAGGAGAAGGGATTAGTGAGGCGTGCCTGGCGTTCACAATTAACTGATCTGTTAATCACCGGAGCGGCTGCTCCAGTGCTGGGAGAAGGTCTCCAGGGATGGGGATAAAGGGTGCTGCTCTCTGAACCCCGCTTTTGGCAAGGGGATGCCTGAATCCTATTGCATCCTGGTGGAGGATGATCTGGGTACCCCTGGGAAGGATGCCTGGATCCCATGGCATCCCAGTGGAGGATGCTGAGGGTACCAGCTCTGTGCCAGGCTCCTGGCTGGCACCAGTGGGTAGCACCAGCCCCAGCCCTGCTCCATGGGCTGTTCCCATGGCAGGGGGGATCCGGGCTCAGGGGTGCAGCTTGGGGGGCTGTGCTGGTGCCTCAGTTTCCCGGGAGCTGCAAGGCCCCGGGCACAGCCGTGTGCCCGCACGCTAAATGGCAGCGGATGGTTTCGTGCCGCCTGGATGCGTGTGGGTGAGCAGAGCGCGCGTCCTGCGGGCTGTGAAATTGCTTCCCTGGAAGCTGCCCATGGACACGGGGATTAACGTGATGCCAGGGCTGTGCCTGCACCAGGAGAGTGGATGGGGCTGGGAGCGAGGAGCCTGTGGCCAGAGGGGCCACGTGGCATGGGTGTTTGGCTCTGCCCAAATCCCATCCGAATCCTACTTGAATCCTGCCCCAATCCTGCCCTGCTTCCTCCCCCAATCCTGCCCTGCTGCCTGCCCAAATCCTGCCCCATTCCCTGCCCTAATCTTGTGTTGCTCCCTGCCTGAATCCTGCTCTTCTTCCTTCCCAAATCCAGCCTCTTCTAGGTGGGCACTGCTGCAAGGTGCTGCCCCAGCAGGGGGGCAGGACCCAGCATGTTCCAGAGGTGGAATCCACCTTGGACGAGGGGACTGGGGGGATGTGCAGACCATGCTCCCAAGGTACCCAGATCATCCGTCAGCTGCCGGATGACCCTACGAGCCCGCACCCCACCAGGACAGTCCCTCTGTGCCCCAGGGCAGCTGGGAATTACCAGTGGGGAAACTGAGGCACGGGCTGTGTTTTCCAGCGGGTCCTGCAGCGAGGGGCCATGCGGGAGCGGGGCGGGGGGAGGTCTCGGTGTTCTGTGCCCCGTGCCCGCAGCTTTGCTCCCCGTTCTGCACGGCCCGTGCCGCGCCGGTTCGGGGGTGGGCAGGGGCCGGGGGCCGCGGCGGGGCCGTGAGCGCGGAGCTGCCGCGGGCGCTGCGGGAGCCCCGGCTCGGCCCTTCCGCACACGTCAGCCGCGCCCGCCGCCCGCGCCGCCGGGGGAGCCGAGCGGCCGCAGCATCGCCCCGCCGGCCGCCGGAGCCAGCGGGGCACGGCCGGGCGGCCGCACCGCCCCGGGAACGTGAGTCAGCACCGGCGGCGGGCACGGCCCTGCTCCGGGCAGCGCCGGCGGGACCGGGGCCGGGACCCCGGAGGGACCCTCCGGCCTCTTCCCGTCCCTGCCTGGAGCCGGCGGTGGGAGCTGCGACCCGCGCTGGGTGGGCGATGCAACAGGCTGGGTGGGGGGGCAGCAGCGCGGGCCGGGCTGTGCCAGCTGCGGGGCGGCATCTGTGGGGCGGGAGGGCAGCGTCTGCCTTATTGTCTCTCACTGCATCCCATTGCACCCCTCTGCACCCCACTGCACCCCTCTGCACCCCACTGCACCCCACGACACCCCACTGCACCCCTCTGCACCCCACTGCACCCCACTGCATTCCACTGCACCCCATTTCATCCTGCTACGTCCCACTGCACCCCACTATACACCACTTCACTCCATTGCATCCCAGTGCATCCCACTGCATCCGGCATCCCCTTCTCCCTCCGTCAGAGTTCTGCTCCCGTTTCCCAGAGCTGGCTGTGAGGCTGGGGCAGGAGCTCCTGGGGCTGGAGCTGTGGCCTCACTGCTGCCACCAGCCCCCCACCTGTTCTCACCTGCCGGGCTGGCCAGGTGAGGGTGGGTGATCCCTGGCTTGGCACACAGCCGCTGGGACACACTGGCCCTGCTGCCGGGGGTCGCTGGGTGCTGGGTGGTCCTGGGTGCTGGGTGGTCCTGGGTGTGGGGCTGCGAGTGATGCAGCAGTTCTGGGGGATGCACTGAGCTCGCCGTTCTCAGCCTGACCTCTATGGCAAGGCCAAGTGCTGAGGCCACGTGAGGGCATGGCACTGGTGCCAGGGGACCCTGTTCCTGCTGGGAAAGTGGAAGGCAGAGCCTGAGGATGTGGGGCAGGATGTGGTGGGGGCCCTTCACGCTGCACACAGCCAGCCCTGTGCCTTGGTGCTCCCTGTGCCCTGGTGTTCCTTGTGTCCTGGTGCCTGCCATGTCCTGGTGCCCCCTGCACCCTGGTGCTCCAGCAGCCGCCACTGCAGGTGCATCTGACCTGGTTTTGGGATAACTTGGCCTCTGAGATGATGCTGCATTTCCCATCACCACACCCAGCGCTGGTGCTGTGGGTACAGGGAGAGCAGCTGGATGGTGCCAGTGGGTCATGGCAGTGGTGGTGCCCAGTCTGGGCTGGTCACTCTTCCCAGGTAGCTGGTCGTTCAGGTGAGGAAACTGAGACAGGACGAACCGGGTCTCACTGGTCCGTTGGCTCATTTGGGAAGCTCCAGTTCCCGAGCCGAGGGGTGGCTCAGCTGACGGTCCCCTCGGAGGGGCTCCTGTCCCTGTGCTCTGCTCCCTGTCGCCGTTCAAAGGCTCTTTTCAGTGAGTCATTTTCTCTTTTGCTGTCCCACTATCCAGGGAAAATGGTGACGTTGGCGGTACAAAGTGTGTTCACCATGGAAACCAGCAGCAAGGGGGGGCACGCCGCCCCCCGCTCCTCCCAGGTTCGGCTTTGCATCCTGAGCCTCAGAAGATGGCTCTGGAGCTCCTTTCACACTCCTTGGCATGGCTGGGCTGTGCCAAGGCCCACGGGGCCATGTGCCTGCTCACTGCCTGGCTGGGAACTGGGGTGCCCGTGGCTGTGCCGTGCGGTGCTGGGGAGCAGCCAGGAACTGCCGGTGCCCCCCAGGGCAGCGGGACCTTCCCCAGACCCCTGGTGCCCTTCAGGTGCTGGTCTCAAGGACACATGGGAGTTGGTGGCAGTCCTGGCATAGGACAGTGGGATCAGGGCACAGGGACAGGGATGCTCTGTGGTCCATGTGCTGGAGCCATGTGTGTGCCATGAGTGTCCCCAAAGGGCTCGGCACAGGCTCAGTGACCTGGGGAGGGGCTGCAGTGCTGGTGGGGGTCTGTGCTGGGGGCACAGCTGAGCACAGGGGCACCTGTCCCAGCCCTGTTGTCCCACAGGAGGGCACTGTGCTGGGCGCTGCAGGGCTGTGGGGGGTCCCTGATGACCAGCTCTGTTGGCAGCACCGCGACCTTCCGGCTGCCTCCCACCACAACGGTGCCGGTTGTTCGGGCAGGCTCTGGGTGGAATAGTAATGTGGCAGCTGCAGCTGGCAGCGGGGCCTGCTGGGGACAGCAGCTGGGACATGGCCACCACCGCTGCCACCACGGCCACCGTGCCCCCTGCCACCGTGCCCCCTGCCACCCCGAGCGACACGGCACCGGCTGCAGTGGGTGGTGGGTGCTGGGATTTGAGGCGTGCTGGTGGCCAGAGGATGCAGTGCCCAGCTGAGCAGCCCTGTCCCATCCCTGTGCCTGGTGTGGGGGCTCATGGAACCAAATTCCTTTCCTTTCAGCTCCCACAGCTGCAGTGTCTGGCCAGCTTTGAGATGTGACTTGTGCTGGGGCCAAACCCACTGGAGGGCAAATCCAAGGGCTGGGGTTTGGCTGGGTGAGGGTGCCTGGGACCTCCGAGCCAGCACAGTCCCTCTCCACAGGGTGTCATTGCCACCCTGCATCCACAGGAGCTGTGTCCCTGTCTCTCCCATGCATGTCCCCCCTTGGCTCCCGACTCCTGTCCTCAAAGGGAGCACAGTGGCACTGAGCCCCCTGTCCCCCCCGAGTGCTCCCCTGTGAGCCCTGATGAGCCCCCACATCCCATGACCCCCACCCGGGCAGGACCCCTCTCCCTGCCCCAGCCCCCTGCCTTGACCCCCTCGTGTCCCCACAGACGGCACCCCCCTTAGTGAGCTCTCCTGGTCCTCCTCGCTGGCTGTCGTGGCTGTTTCCTTCTCGGGGCTCTTCACCTTCATCTTCCTCATGTTGGCCTGTCTGTGCTGCAAGAAGGGGGACATCGGCTTCAAGGTGAGCTGGGGGCACTGGGGGGTCCCCAGGCCGGGAGAGGGGATCTCCCCAGAGACCCCAGGAAGGGATGGAGGTGTTCAGAGGTTCCCAGTGCAGGATCCCCTGCCCCAGCACCAGGGCTGGATGTGTCCTGGTTTAGGAGAGCAGTGCTCAAAGAGAGGGTTTGAACCCTCAGTGCCTGCCAGGACCTGTGGGACTCAGCATCACTGGAGGTCATATCCTGACTCATCCAGGATCCCAGGTCCACAGAGCATGGATATGTGAGGTTCAGCATCACTCGGGGTCATATTCTGACCCATCTGGGCTCCCTGCTCTGCACAGCCTGGATCTGTGGGTTTCAGCATCACTGGGGGTTGTAGCTTGACCCGTCCAGGCTCCCAGCTCCACAGAGCGTGGATGCTGTGGGGCTCAGGATCACTGGGGGTCATATCCTGACCCAGCCGTGCTCCCGGCTCCGCGCAGGGCCAGGCCACGCCACGGTTAAGGGCCCGGCAGTCCCACCCGCACGCCCCCGAGGGTGGGAGGCACCCTGACCTCACAGGCACAGAATGTGCCGAGAAAACGCTTTTTCCCTAATTGCTGGGATTTTTGTGGAGGCTTGAGGCGCCCGCGGCGGGAGGGGGTCAGGCTGGGGGGGACACGCTGGGTGCTGTGTAACGTCCCACACCGTCGGAGCACCTCTCCGTGCCGGGGGGGACAGTGACCCCCGCGGCCCCCGCGCTGGGTATAAAGGGGCGCGCGGCCGGGCCGGTGTCCGGCGGGACACGGCGCATGGCACACGGCGGCACATGGCACGCGGCGCGGTGCCCACGGCGGCGGCAGTGCCATGAGGCAGAGCTGGGCAGGGCGAGATGCTCACCGTCGCCTACCTGCTCGCCCGGGCGGCTTTCAGGAGCCGGGGTGTGCCGGGGTGGCACCGCCAGGTAGTGGGGTGGGTGGGGCCGTCCCCGTGGAGGGGGTAGGGTTGTGTGCCGGGAGGGTGGGATTTGGGGGTCCCCGTGCCTGGGGGTGTGGGTGAACCCGTTGGGGCAGAGGGGTCTGTGGGGCACTGCTGGCAGTGGGGAACCCTTGGGGTCAGTTATCTCTGCTCGGTGTGTCCCCCTCCCCTCATGCCCCTGGAGCAGGAGTTTGAGAACGCCGAGGGGGACGACTACGTGACGGAGCTGTCGGCCCAGGGCTCGCCTGCCCCCCAGCATGGCCCCGAGGTCTATGTGCTGCCCCTCACCAAGGTGTCCCTGCCCATGGCCAAGCAGCCGGGGCGCTCAGGTAAGCTGGGGAGGGGGCAGGACCCCTGAGAGCCATGGCTGGGGTGTCCTGCAGCACTGAGCAGCAGGGTGAGCTGGGAATGGGGGGTCTCCCCTACTGAGGACGGACAGCTCCAGCAGAGCCCTGAGCAGGGGACAGGCAGCCAAGTTCCCTGGGGAGCGCTGCAAGGATTCCCCTGTGCGAAGGTCCCTTGTCCTTGTCCCCAACCCTGTGCGTGTCCCACCCTGCCAGGGTGGAACGGGACATGGACACCCCAAATGGTGGCACCCACAAGCTCCGGTCCCGTGTAAACAAGCCCATGAGTGGGAGAGGAATGTGGGGGGCGCTTGGCTGTGCCCCCTCCTGCCCTGCGCCGTTCCCCGCCCAAAGAATGGCCGTGGGGGGGTGGCCAGCGAGGGCCAACAATGGTCCCATTGCTGCCTGCCCTTGGCACGGGCACCCGAGGGGCAGGACTGTGCCGGGGGGGCTGGGAAGGGGCTAAATGCCAGCCCTGCGCTGGGCTCGGCTCCGCCTGCCCTGCGGAAGAGAAGGGACAGGGATCCAGCTCTGCCGCCACTCGGTTCGGGGACACCAGTACCCCACGTCTCACCGCCGTGGGAGGATGCCTGGAGAGGAAGATGCCTGGGATGCAGGGTGCCTGGGGATGGATTCTCTGGAGCATCTCGGCATGGCAGACGCCCTGGCACCGGGTGACACGGTGGGGATGTCAGGGCTTGGCTGGGACTACTGGGGAATGTGGGCAGGGGGGCAGAGGGACACTGGCAGGGGGGACACGTGGTCGGGGGACACGCGGGCAACTAGGTGTGCTCTGTTACAGTGCAGCTCCTCAAGTCGGCAGACCTGGGGCGGCAGAGCCTCCTGTACCTGAAGGAGATCGGGCATGGCTGGTTTGGCAAGGTGAGCCCAGGGGCAGGGAGCCCCCGACACCCCACCCCGGTGGGACCCGGGGCCCCGGCTGTGCCAGGCGGGTTCGGGGTGTGGATGGAGGGACGAGCGTGTCCCTCGCCCCAGGTGTTCCTGGGGGAAGTGAACTCGGGCATCAGCAGCACCCAGGTGGTGGTGAAGGAGCTGAAGGCGAGTGCCAGCGTGCAGGACCAGATGCAGTTCCTGGAGGAAGCGCAGCCCTACAGGTACCTCTGGGGTCACTCTGCGGTGCCGAGAGTGGGGATGCTGTGGGATGGTGGCAGGTCCCTTCCATGGCACCTTTGGCTGCCAAGCAGAGCCGTGGCTGTCCCATGGAGGTGCCAGCTGAGCTCTCCAGCAGCTCAGCTCCATCCCAGCCCATCTGCCCGGCGCTCACTGCGGCAGGACTGGGGCTGTGCGGAGCCACTGGCCATGGCGAGGGGCAGCGGTGAGGTCATGGGCAGAGCGGGGCCGAGGCGGGGCACGGGGCTGCTCCTGCTTGGGCACAGCTGAACAAATGTCCCTTTGTGGTGTGCCTGGGGCGCTGGGACGTGCTGGTACCCGCTCCGGCGCTCCCGGCAGCCCCCGCCCATCCCGGTACAGGCAGGGTGATGGTTCCCAGGGGGCTCCCGCTGTCCCCTCATCCAACCCCAGCACACGCAGGGCAGTGGTTCCTGAGGAGTTGCTGCTGTCACCCCAAGCACAGCCAGGGCAATGGGGTGCTGGGAGCAGCCCCAACCCCCCTGGCACGGTGCCCATGTGCCCCTGTTGCTCTGCCCACACAGAGCCCTCCAGCACACCAACCTGCTGCAGTGCCTGGCCCAGTGTGCCGAGGTCACGCCGTACCTGCTGGTGATGGAGTTCTGCCCACTGGTGAGTCCGTGTGCCCCTCGTGCCCCTCCCGCTCCCCACGGTGCCCCTGTGGGTGCCGGGCATGGCCGAGCCCCCGCAGCCGAGCGCCGTGGAGGGTGACAGTGGCACTGCCCACAGGGTGACCTGAAGGGGTACCTGCGGAGCTGCCGGGGGGCCGAGGCCATGACCCCGGACCTGCTGACCCTGCAGAGGATGGCATGTGAGGTGGCCTGCGGCGTCCTGCACCTGCACAGGAACAACTACATCCACAGGTAGGCTGGCCTGCGGCTCGGGGGGGGGGCAGGGGGAAATTCGGGGTCTGGATGGGGGCGGTTCCCAGGATGCCAGCGTTCCTGCCCCACCACTGCTCCTCCTGCCCAACAATATCCTGGTGCTGAGTGAGTTGCAGACGGAGACTCCAGCATCAGTGATTTTGTTGAGGAGGGGATGCGCTGCCATCAGGGGCCACCGGAGTGTCCCCACCTGAGCCCAGGTCTGCAGGTGGGTCCCCACGAGGGTGCCCGAGCTGTGGTGGGGGGATATGGGGTCCCCAGCTGTGCTACTGGAGAGGGACTCCCCTATGGGCAGCCCAGCTTTGGTGGGCCCTGGTGCAGTGGGGGTCTCGCGTGTACCCCGTGTGCGTGACCTGCCCTGGGGCTGGAGCAGCCGCCCGGGAGCCCGGCCCCGTGCCAGGGCTCACGTTGCCCGGGAACACCCGCTTTCTGCTTGGCTCGGCGCGTGACGGATGGACGGACGGACAGCGGCGCAGCTGGGGCTGCGCAGGCATTCCTGCTGTGCACTGGCTGCCGCGTTATCGGCACGCCCGGCGCTGGGCACAGGGACGGGGGGACGGGGCCCCGCCGCCGCTCGCCCATCCCGCTGCCCCCGCGGGGTCCCTGGTGGGTGTCCCCCGACCCCTCGGTGGTGGTGGGTGCCCCCCGGCCCCCCGGCAGCGGTGACAGCTCCCGGTTTGCTTGGCAGCGACCTGGCCCTGCGGAACTGCCTCCTCACCGCCGACCTCACCGTCAAGATCGGGGACTACGGGCTCTCGCACTGCAAGTACAAAGTAAGGCTGGTTGGAGGGAGGAGGGGCTGGGGGCTGCGCACCGGGACCCCCGGGGCACCCACACGTACACCACCCTGGTACATATCGTGCTGAGCCTTCCTTGCCCCACACCCGCACACATTCCTGCTCCCCAGCAGTGCCGGGGCACTCCCTGGGTTTTCTGGAGTGCAGGGGGGTGCAGACCACCCTGTGAGGGACTCGCTTCCCCCCAGTTTGTCCCCATGAGCATTAGGGGGGGATTTTTCCCTCTCCCAGCACCCTGGCCCCCTGCCCAGAGGGGTGCCATGGAGCCTGGGCTCCCCAGCGCTGCCTGGGCTGGCCCGGACGCGCCCCTCTGCCAGGAACAGGTCCCTGCAGGCAGCTGCCAGCACAGCCTGGGGTTGTCCCCTCGTCCATATGTCTGTCTGTCCTGCTCTGGGCTGCCCATGGCTCCTGGCAGGGCTGGGATCGCTGGGCTGGGGGGCTGGAGGAGCTCAGAGGGGCAGCAGAGGGGGGGAGGAGGGGCAGTGGGTGCCAGGAGGAGCGAAGGGCAGGCTGGGGGCAGAGCCGGGGGGGATCGTGCTGGGCGGGGGGCAGGGCACGGGGTGGAGGGTGCCGCGGCGTGGCCGGTCCCTGACGCCATGGATTGACGTTCTCTTCTCGTACTGACCCTGCACACTTGGCAGGATGACTACTTCGTGACGGCCGACCAGCTGTGGGTGCCGCTGCGCTGGATCGCGCCCGAGCTCATCGACGAGGTGCACGGCAACCTGCTCGTGGTGGACCAGACCAAGGCCAGCAACGTCTGGTGAGCGGGTCTGGGGGGGGGCAGGGGGCTGCAGGGGTGGGTTGTTTTCAGGACAGCTGGCCGGTAGCGGGGTGGGGGTCTCCCTGCACCCCCAGCATCCCACCGTGCCCGCAGGTCGCTGGGCGTCACCATCTGGGAGCTGTTTGAGCTGGGCAGCCAACCCTACGACCACTACTCGGACCGGCAAGTGCTGGCCTATGCCATCAAGGAGCAGCAGCTGAAGCTGCCCAAGCCGCAGCTGAAGCTCTCGCTGTCGGAGCGCTGGTGAGGAGCCCGTCCTGCCCCCTGCCCTGCCCCACCTCGCGGTGGGCGGGGGGCCAGGCTGACCCTGGCCCCTCACCACAGGTACGAGGTGATGCAGTTCTGCTGGCTGCAGCCTGAGCAGCGCCCAACAGCGGAGGAGGTGCACCTGCTGCTGTCCTACCTGTGTGCCAAAGGGGCCACGGAGGCCGAGGAGGACTTCGAGAAACGCTGGAACTCCATGAAGCCCAACGGCAGCGCTGGCGGCAGCCACCACGGCCCTGAGCTCTCCTCCTTCCCACTGCTGGAGCAGTTCTCAGCTGACGGCTTCCCCTCAGACGGGGACGACATCCTCACCGTCATGGAGACCAGCCACGGCCTCAACTTCGAGTACAAGTGGGAACACACCAAGACCGAGCACTTCCAGGCCCCCCTGGGGTCCCTGAGCCCCACCAGCGCCGCCCGCTACCATGACCTCTACTACCCTGCCACGACGGTGGGGCTCAGCCTGGGGGTCTCCCCCTCCTGCTACGAGTGCAAGGCGGGGGGCTGCCCTGGGGTGCCGGCGCCTGGCGTGGTGCCCATCCTGGGTGCCCACAGCCCCTCACTGGGCAGCGAGTACTACATCCGCATCGAGGGCCCCGGGGAGGGCAGCGCCGAGCTGGACTATGCCATGTGCACCTACAGCCCTGCGGGCGAGCGGGGGCCCCTGCGCCCCCCGTCCTGCTGGAGAGCCCAGGGTGGCCGGAGCAGCGGCGCCTACGACTCCGACGGCAGCCCCACCGTGTCCCTCAGCATGGAGCCTCTGCTGGGCCACGCGCCGGCGGGAGAGGCCTCCTGGGAGTGCGCCGAGTACTACCCCTATCCCTGCCCCGGGCAGGAGCCGCGGGGCTATGAACCGTCCCCCAGCCACGGGGCCGAGGGGTACCTGCTGGAGGAGGAGCCCCCCCAGCCAGGCAGCCAGGACTGGCCCGTCCCCAGCTTCCAGCCCGGCATGTTCACCGACCCGCTGGGCGTCTCGCCGCCGGGGAACTGCACTTACAGCCCCCGGGGGTACGGGGCGACACGGGGGCAGAGCGGGGCCCCGCCGGACTGTGTGGCACTGGAGCTGGGCGAGGACAGCCCCCCGAGTGCCCCCCACCCGCCAGGTGCCAGCCCCCCGCCTCAGCGCCTTCCCTGGGCCTCCAACAGCTCCTCCAACAACAACATCGGCAGCGGCAGCCCCCGTGAGCCCCCGGCCGGCGACAGCTGGTGCTACCGCCGCATGATCACCTTCCGCGGGCTCATGGCCAAGCCGCTGGGCACGGTGCCACGCGGCCAGCCCCAGCTCGGGGGGTCCCCGCCGGGACACGACTTCCTCCGCCCGCGGCAGGATCAGCCCCCCGCCATGGCCGGCGGCTCCTCCTCCCCGTGCCGCTCGCCCTCCCCGCGGCTCCAGGCCTGGCACGGCCGTGACTCATCACCCTGCGGCCGCGCACAGGCAGTCACGCTGGCGGGCAGCCCCGCCACGCCGTGGGGCCCCGACGCGGCCCCGACACCTGCGCCAGGGGCCCCTCGTGATGCCCACCCGGACGAGAGCGCAGTGGGGGGCAGCCCTGCCTGCAGCCCACTGCCCCACGCCACAGTGGGGCTGGGGGAGGCCGCCCCCATGGCTGGCACCACCACCCCAAACCCTGGCCTGCCTGTTGAGCCTGGCACAGACAGCGCCCAGCCCACGCCAGAGCCCGCCGAGGCGCCCGCACCGATGCCCACGGAGGCCATGGCTGAGAGCGGCGCCTGTGCCACCAGCGATGCTGACCGGACACCGGACAAGACCTTCTCCAGCGGCAGCTTCCCCAGCGTGGACGAAGGCAGCGATGAGGACACGGCAGAGCTGACCTCCGGCGTCTTCACCGACTTCTCCGGGGACTACACGGAGCGGACGGAGGCGACCCCGGCACTCAGGTCCCTGCAGAAGCAGGTGGGGACACCGGACTCGCTGGAGTCACTGGACATCCCCTCCACGGCCAGTTCCTGCGAGGTGCTGAGCCCCGGTGCCTTTGTGCCCGCTGGCCAAGCCCGCGCCCTGGACAGCGGCTACGACACCGAGAACAACGAGTCCCCCGAGTTCGTCCTCAAGGAGCCCCACGAACCCCGAGAGCCGGAGACCTTCAACCAGCTGGCGAAGCCGCCTCCAGGGCTGCCAGGGGGCGAGGGTGAGGGTCCGGCCCCCGAAACGCGGCTGCCCAGTGCCCTGGGGGCTGAGCTGCACAGCCTGGCCGAGAAGAGCCCCTACCGTGACTCTGCCTACTTCTCCGACTGCGACGCCGAGGCTGAGCGTGGCCCCAAGGACGAGGGGGACAGTGATGGATCCCGCACCCCGGAGGCAGAGGAGGGTCCCCGCTCCCCTGAGCAGGACGTAGGGCGAGGGGAGGATCCACTGCACCCCCCGGGGGCACCTGGCAGCCCCCCAGCAGCGCCTGGTGTCGCAGTGGCGGTGCCCATGCCGGTTGTGGGGGTTTTGGAGGGGGACCAGGAGGGGGCTGAGGACAGGAGCACACCGGCCGGCCCCACGGAGCAGGCACCTGGCACGGAGCAGTGCCCCGCTGGCACGGGGCTGGTGCTGGGCAGCCCCCCACGCCCCGACACTGATGTCTGTCCCCCGGGCTCTGTGACCCCCAAGACTTTCCCCTTGACCCCCGTGCCAGTGAGCCCTGGGGAGCCACTGACTGTCGGAGGGACCCACGTGCCTGAGGGTGTCCCTGGAGTTGGAGGAGCTGTGGCAGGGGATAAACAGACTGTGCCCCTTGTGCTGGGGCCTGGGGACCTGGGGCTGCCCCCGGAGGGGACGGGGGTGGGTGATGCTCCGGGGGGTCCCAGCACGCTGCTGCCAAGGGCTGAGCCAGCCCCGGGCCTCTCCCCGCTCCCGTCGGCCCCTGAGCGCCACGAGGAGCCGGAGGAGGAGGATGAGGACACAGAGGACAGCGACGAGTCAGACGAGGAGCTGCGCTGCTACAACATCCAGGAGCAGAGCGAGGAGAGCGAGGAGGAGCCGGTGGCTGTGCCCATCGTGGTGGCCGAGAGCCAGAGTGGCCGGAACCTGCGCAGCCTCCTCAAGATGCCCAGCCTGCTCTCCGAGTCCTTCTGCGAGGACCTGGAGCGCAAGAAGAAGGCCGTCTCCTTCTACGACGATGTGACCATCTACCTCTTCGACCAGGTGGGTGCCCTAGGGGGCAGTGCCGGGCGCTGGTCATGGTCCCACAGCATTCTGGCGGTGGGAGCCGTCCCCAGCCGTGCCCCCAGTGAGGTTCCTTCCTGCTGTTTCTCCATCCTCAGGAAAGCCCCACGCGGGAGCTGGCTGAGCAGGGCTTCCCAGAGCCCCCCCTGCCTTCGGGGCAGCCCCCCCTGCCTTCGGGGCAGCTCCCTGCCAGTGGCAGCCCCCCCAGCCCCACGGACAAGCTCGGAGCCTCAGACGACTCCTCAGATGGCAATGCCTCGGAAGAGAGTAAGAGACCAGGGGGTTGTGGGGCTGGTGCTTATGGGGTGATGGGGGCAGCAATTATGGGATGATGGGGGCAGTTATGGGGTGATGGGGGGAAGCAATTATGGGATGATGGGGACAATTATGGGATGATGGGGGCAGTTATGGGGTAATGGGGGGCAGCAATTATGGGATGATGGGGGCAGTTATGGGGTGATGGGGCAGCAATTACGGGATGATGGGGGCAGTTATGCAGTGATGGGGGAGTAGTTATGGGGTGATGGGGGGCAGCGGTTATGGTGGGGACCCTGAGATGGGCTCAACCCCCTCACTCCCTATCACAGGCGGTGGCTTCGAGTGGGACGATGACTTCCCGCTGGTGCCGGTGAAGCCGCCCCTGGTGGCCTCGCTGCCGGGGACACCAGCAGAGCCCCCCGCGGCCGTGCCCGCCCTGCCTGCCCTGGTGCCGGCACAGAAACAGGTGCTGCCCATCCAGTTCTCCCGGTTCACGGTCTCGCCTGCCCCGGTGTCCCGGTTCTCCATCACCCACGTCTCCGACTCGGACATGGACTCCATAGGAGGTGAGTACCCCCCGTGATGCTGCTCTGCGGGTGACCAGGACCCCTATCCCTGCCGGGGGCTACCATCAGTGCCAGTGGCACTGTGAGCCACGGGACACCCTGGCCTTGTGCCCGAGGGGATGGTCACCCCTGCGAAGGGCCGGGTGTCCCGCGGAGGGCGGGACCCTCTCACGGCCCCTCTCTGCTCGTTGCAGGCAGCAGCGAGGACGGTGACCGGGAGTGAGCCCGCCGGGACACAGCCGGCATCGCCCCGGCACCGGGCAGGCGCAGGACGGCGGGGCTGGGCACGGGGGTCGCCCGTGGGCTCCCAGACCCCGCTCTGGATTTTTTAGGCAGATTTTCTCGGAAGGAACTCGTTTGCTGCTGCGAGTGGGAGTGGGGCCGTGCCCCCCGCGGGGCCAGGCGGTGGGTGACGGTGACGGTGACAGCCGTGCGTGTGTGTGCGGGTGGCTGTGTGCGTGCGTGCAGAATACACACTTATATATATATATATACATATATATATATAAATTATAGCGTTTAAAGGGTAGTGCCCTGACCTTGCTAACATTTGCAGAGTGTCCCCCCAGTGAAGTCCCCCCCTTTTGGCTTCTTGCCCACGCGTGCTCCCCGAGGTGGTGTTTGTCCCCACACATCCTGTGCTGTCCCCTCCCCGTGCCGTGTGCTTGGTCTTGCACCTTGTGGCAGCTTGGCTGCCCCAGGGCTGCCCCACAGTCACCCTACAGCTGCCCCACGGCTGCCCCACAGCCACCCCATGGCTGTCCCAGGGCTGCTTCACGGGCACCCCACGACATTCCCGAGTGAGGAGCCACTGGCTGCTGCCACCATTGATGTCACTCCCTGTGCCAGGGGTGCCACTGTCTCTCCAGGGGGGGCACCATGGCTTTTGGGGCTTGGGGGGGCTCCCCTCCCTTTGCTTTCAGGGAGCAGTCCCAGCAGGGGGATCCTGAGGGCTGGTGGAACCGTTGCCCACTGTGGAAGGGAACGACACGTGGAGGGCTGGTTAGGGGGGGAACGTCCCCCCTCGGGACCTGCCAACCTGACTATTTTTGTATTTAAAGAAAAGGATTAGAAAAACCCAACCCCAAACCCACCCCAGAACCAAAACTCGCTGTTGACTGAACCCACATTGACGCGATTTTAAGTTATTGCTGCCAAAGAGACGTATCGAGTCGGGGGGAGGGGGGCAGGGGGTACTCGCAGTTCTTTGTTACTTTTATTTTTTTTTTTGGGTTTCTTCGTTATTTTTTTTTTTTTTAATTCATTCGAGGCTTAGGATAATTGTGCAATTCCAGCTTCCGGAAGGAAATAGAAGTAAGCGGAGCTGAACGAAACCTTGAAATCAGGGCTGGTTCCTTTTGGGGTCTATAGACCAAACCCTGAGGTGAGAAATGTCCCCTGTGAGCGCCCCCCGCCCCATGTCCTGGCTCCTGGCACCCCGTGTGCAGGTGGTGAGGGCACACAGATGCCCTTGTGCACAGACACGTGCACCCACGTGGGATGGGGCTGGTGCCAGGGGTTCTGCTCCATGCCATGAGATGATCCCATCCTGGGCTGGGCACAGCTCTGGCACCAGGACCCTGTGGGATGAGCCCATCCCCAGCCTGGCACTGTGATGCCACTCGGGTTCCAGCCAGATGTTCCCATACTCGCCCACCCTCCTCCCACCCATCCAGCAGGTTTCAGCCCACCCTGGAGCTGTATCTCAGCTGGAGCCCCCTCAGTGCTCAGAAGGATGTTGTGGGGGTGAGGGGCTGTGCCCGAGGGCACAGCCACGGTCCCAGGGGACCCCAACTTCAGCCCCAGGGTGGCTGTGCTGCCCCGTACCCCCCATTGCTGGTTCCTCCCCACCACTAAGCAATTAATGCTTTATTTAAGTGTTTTATTTAAGTCCCCACCTGTCCTGTAACCCACCCCCCCTCAGTTCTCCCAAGCTCTTCCCTTACCCTTTGCAACTGGGGGGCCACCCCCTGCACTGACCTGGGGTGCAGCACCCATGGGTGCTGCCCATGCAGGAGTGAGATGCTCCTGGGATTCCCTTCCCGCAGCATCCACCCTCCTGCCCCCCCTGCCTCCCCTTCCCTGCACACCACCAGCACCACAGGTGCTCGCCCCCCAAGCCCCTTGCACCCAGGGGTGCTGGTCCAGCCCCCCACCCCACCCTGGGTTTGGTCTATGGCGCCGCAGGTCCCGGCTCCGGAGGGTGGATGAGGACAGAGCTGTGGCTTGGGTAACTTTTTTAATAGAAAGGCTCTTCTTACATGGTCTATTTTCTCAATACGGGTCATAATTGCTGTATTTTTTATCAGTGCTGATTTCCATACAGCTCCCAGCATGTGTGTCAAATCTCATCGGGCCAATAATAAAGTTTTTAAAATATCTTAAGCCGTTTCCTGCCCCGATCATTGCCCGGCACGCAGGATGGAGCCAGCTCGGGATGGACCCGGGGCCAGGCCGTGCCTCTGGCCAGGGAAAATGCCGCAGGAGGGAGGGGTGTGAGGGATTTAATTGCTCATAAATTACTTTTTCTCATAAAAAATTATTTCAGGTTACGTCTTGCAGGTGCCACCGAGCCAGGAGGTGCAGCGAAGCCCCCGGGGGCTGGTTGGAGCCAGGGTGGCTGCTCAGGGGTCCCGGGGGGGCAGCCCCTGGCACAGGGGTGGAAGAGGACAACGCTGTGGCCGAGGGGACCCCAGGCCTGTCCCCACCCAGGGCTGTGACCACCAGCCCTCTCCCACCCACTGCACCGTGCGCCAGTGGAGCCCTTCCCCTCACCCCTGCCCCGTGTGGTCCCCCACCCATCTGCTCCAGCCCTGGGAGAAGAGGAGGCACAGGAGAGGAAGAGGAGGCACATCATGGAGCAGGGAACCCTCGTGTACAGCTGGAGCCTGGACGGTCGCAGAAGCTCTTTTCCTGCAGCGGAGCTGGAAAATCCATCGGAGGGGACATGGGAGAGATGAACCACCACATCCCACTGGGACCGAGCCCCGCGCTGGCACCGCTCTGTGCCCGGCCAAGCGCCCACTGCCTGGACTGTGGTGACCAGGACATGCTGCACTAGTGATCAGGAAGTGCAAAATGAAAAATACAATGGAAAAAGCAAAAACTCTGTTCGGCATCAACCACTCACCCACGGGAGACACAATTGCTGCCTGGAAACCCCCTTCTCCCTGTTTTCAGAGCAAGGACAAGACTCCTGTGTCGGCTCCCTGGAACTGTGGAAGGGCCCGGGAGCCACCTCACTCGTGGGCACTCCCAGCAATAAGCTTAGCAAGTGTGTGTATATATATATTTATATATATTTATCTCTATCTATCTCTCTCTCTCATGCAGCCCTAGGAATAGAGGAAGAGCAAACAGCCAAGCAAGAGGTCTGGAGGGAGCTTCTGTCTGCGGGGAGCAGGGCCCCCCAACTGCCCCAGGCACCCCAAGGCTTCCACACTGCCCTCGCCTCCACAAGTGTGTTTTTCTAGCTTATATTTTACAGCAGTACCGTAATTCCCTACAATATCCTGAGCCCTGGCACTGCAGGAGCTCTGGGACCAGAGCCGGCCCTGTCCCAGCAAGGGCTGCAGTGCCACCACCCTGTTGCTGGTGTGCCAGCCTGGAGGATGGGGTGGGCATCCAGGGTCTAGTGGGAGCCTGGGAGCTGCCTACAGCTCTCACCTTCCCTTGGCTTGCACGGGGTATCCGGGCTATCCCACCTTTCCTAGGGGTCCCTCCTGTCTGGGCAGGGGAGAGCAGGGGGACCGTGTCCCCTCTGCCACTGCCACCCCACCGGAGCACTGTGAGCCCCTGGAGCCCTTTCTTCAGCTGAGCCCATTTTCCCACCCATGGCAAACTGCTGCTCAGCCTGGGAACCATCCCAGCCCCAGGACGTGCTGCTCCAGCTCCGGGATGTGCTGCCACCACACTCCTTGGTGCAGGCAGAGGACAGGTGACACGACCGCGGTGTGACCCTCTGCCACTGAGGGGGACAAGCTGGGTCTAGAGAAGAGAGAACTAGGGCACTAGCTTGAGCCTTTGGCTTTCAAAGCAGCAGGATTAAATAAATTCCGCCTAAAAATGAAGTCCTGGGAAGCCGGACATGCAGTGGTGAGGATGAGGAGGACGAGGAGGTGGCGAGTGCCGCGGGTGCCAGCGCTCCCCAATCAGCTGATGAGCGGAGCTGAGCGGTCGTTCGTCACCGTTGGCTTCAGCTGGACGTTGGCAAAGGGGTTTCTGCGGAGGAAGAGGAAGGAAGAGTTAACGGGGGGACGGCGGCAGCGGGGCTGGTGAGGACGGGGCACCGGCACAGCGAGCGGGCACTGGCAAGACCCCAGGAGAGCAGCTTTGGGAAGGGGTTAACTGGAAAGGCTCTGCCCTGTGGAGCCCCCAGCTGAGCTGCCCCCACTCCTCAGCTCCTCTCCCAGCTAAAGCCCTGGTAGGTGTCAGAGATGAGCCGAGGGCAGCTCCATGTGGGATGTTCTCCTACCTCACTCTCCATCAGCCTAAAGCAGGAGATGCCATGGGGGACCAGGGCTGGAGAAGCTGCTCCAGTCCCCTCCAGGTTGGACTCACACAGTTCCCACAGATGGGAGCACCACGAGATCACCTGGCTCTGCACTACCGGTTATGGCCTGACCTCCCAGCCAAGGGCAGAGCTGGTAGCTCCCTGCAGAGGCCTTGTGCTGCCTCTGGAGAAGTTAATATCCAAGAGTGTGGGAGATAAAGAACACCTGGATGGACTTGGCAGAGCCAAGAGACCAAGCCCAGCCCAGCCAGCCTGACCTGGGGTTTCACCTACCTGGGGTGTCCCCCACACTGTCCTGTCACTTGGCCAGGAGAGGATACAGGGGCTACCTTGGCATGGGGAGCATCCTTACCCCACCCCAGGAGGTCTCCTTTGTGCTCTCCCAGCAGGAGTTAACTCCCTGGAGGTGTGGGCAGCTCTGGGGGTTCCATTGGCTGTCAGGGGTGCCTGGGGTCATCAGGTCCAAACCTGCACTGGGCAGGGAGCCACCAAGCAGCTCCCTACCCATCCTCCCTGTCTCACCTGCCCAGCGCCCCCAGCCCTCCCCAGGGAGCCACACAATCCCTCTCCTTTCCCCAGTGGAAGCTGTGGCCATGGCCCACCACACACATGGGTCCCACAGCTGGGCCACTGGCCAGTTCCCCACCATGGAGGCACCAGATGTGGGTGCATGTAAAGTGCCGTGGTTACCATCTACAACTGGACTGAACAGCTTTGGGATGTCCCCAGAAGCTTTGGAATGTCCCCAGAGCAGAAGGAGGAGGCTGGGACCCCCAACCCCCCTGGGACGGACACTCACTGTTTGCCCCAGGCCCCCTCCTTGCCATCCCTCACCTCTCCATGTGCACTTTTTCTCTCCTTAGAAGATAAATGGCTTTTGCTTAAAAATAGGGTAATTAATTTCCCACCTAATTAATGCAGATGCTTAGATCACTTTCCCCCCCAGGATGCCAAAATAGATTCTCAGGACTGGAGGGAGAGAAAAGTTGCTTTGATGAATCACCCGGGGCTCTCATTTAACTATTTCTGTGCTGGCAGCGAAGAGCCATTGGGGTGGAGCCTGCAACTCCAGGGAATACAGCTCATGGATCAAACAGAAACGGGAAGAGGGCTCTCCAGGCTCTGCAGTGCCGAGGTGGGTGTCGGCTCCTGGGGAAGCTCCTCCATCCCATCCCAGGGGCCAGGATGAGGAGGCTCCCAGGACAAGGAACCTCCTGGGACAAGTCTACAACAAAAAAGCTGCTCAAAAAACTCGAGGTTAGCGCGGACGTTCCCTGCCCCGCCGGAGAGTGGGCTGGGGCTGGCGATGGGCACCAGAGACCTACAACCGAAGAGGCTGGTTAGGGGCAGCGGGAAGCGCAGGAGCAGCTCAGCATCCCGGGAAGCGCAGCCACGGCAGCGGAGCGAGTGGCCGTGCAGAGGCAGCGCGGTGAGACCCAGAGCTCCTGCCACCGGGCCGGGGACAAGCGGTGACCGACGGAGGGGACGGAGGCAGGGGGAAGCAGAGCGGTGGCACCGTCCCCGCGCAGCCCCGCGGCCTCACCCGCTGCCCAGCGCACCCAGGGCTCGGCCCCCCGACACCGTCAACTTACTAACTACGGGCAGGGGCACCTCAAAACCTGGCCACTTCAACATCGGGGCTGCAAGGGAAACAGAAGGCACGTTGGAGGACACCGGGACGCTTGATGGGAACAGAAGGTCGTGGTTAAGGAGAGACTTAAGGTTCCGGGCAGGCGGCCCCAGAGCCCACCGGCCACCCCGCACGCAGCACGTCAGGCAGAGGAAACAGGAGGAAAAAGAAGAAAAAGGAGAAAAAGTCGTGTTTATTGAGTCACTGGTGCTGCGAGGAGGGGAAGGAAGGGCACGGCCGGCTGGGAGCCACCTGGGGAGCGCAGGGGTCGGGCATGGGGCTGCGGAAGGGAGGGGGGGCTTCCTTCCCCCGTGCCAGCCATCCCCGCTTTCCCAGCGCCGGGAAAGTGCAGCCGGAGCCTTGGCATGCGGGAGCAGCAGCAGCAGCATCACCCCCTCAGGTGCTCACAGAGGGGGGACCCGGCTCTTAAACAGTTGTCGCTGCTCCCGCTCAGCGAAGCTGTTTAATGCCAGCGGGGCCGGGCGTGCACGGGCAGCAGCCAGAGCCCCCCACGGCCGCCCCGCGCCGAGGGATGGAGCAAGGAACAAAAACATGGCATGGGAATGTGCGGCGGGCGATGCAGGCTGTGAGGGCAGCACACAGGCACGGCAGCCGAAAAAGACACCGAGGCCCAGCTCAATGCAATAAATAAAACTTTTATTCGAACAATAACTCAGTACAGGGCACAATTCTCTCTGGCTTTTAAAAAAAGGTTTTTCACCACTTTACAGTCTCCACACAGGCTTTGCTAGGCTGGGTTTGTGGTTTTTTTCCCCCTCCCCTACTCTCTGTCATTCAGCGTGAAATATCCTGGGTTAAAAATCTTTAGCAAAATTCGGACATCGATGCAGGAAGGGCTTGGAACAACGTGCCTGTAGGCGAGGAGATAACCCAAAAACTGGTCCGGGGGGAGTCTATTGCCAGCAATGTCCCAGTAAACAGGCAATGTCAGAGGTCTTAAAAATCACATCAGAAAAAAGCGTGAACAGCTTTGCAGTGGAGATGGCCACGGGCACTGGGAGGGCTACGGGCAAGTGCAGGAGCAGGACCCCAGTGCCAGGTGGGAGCCCCCCTGGGCACTGCCGAGCCCACCGTGGGGCACAGCGTGGGGGCTGCCTCGCCCAAGCCCGGTTTAGGGATGCGAGTGTGTCCCCGGACCCCCAGCCCTAACGTGAGGTAACAATACCTTGCTACAAAAAATATATATATATATATTTATAAAACAACCAGGAGTAACCCTTCCGGGAGGGGTTCCCACGGCCGGCGGGACCCCAGCCCAGAAGCAGCCCTTTCCCCGGGGCGGGGGGTCTGTGCCATCCGCTTCTCCCAAAGCCACCGTGGTGGGATGGAAGCGGATCAGGCTGAGGGGGAGGCGCAGGGACGCTGCCCCCCCTCCGGGAACGGCATCCCGGGCGCGGGCATCCCGGATGCTCAGTAACAGTACGGACACCAGAGGCCATGCATATGTGTTCCAGTCTGGGAGTTTGGTCCAGGCTCGTGCGGGGCGGCCGGCGCGGCCCCGGGGGGACAGTGCATCGCTAACATCACACGGGAGGACAAACACGGGTCCCACTAAGTGTCAGCTGCGCTCAGGCTGCGAGCACAGGCAGTTTCTGCTCCGAAAAGGCTTCAGAAACAAGGGCACTGTGAACACCAGGGAGGGGTGAGAAGCACCATGGTTTCCTTGAAGATCACAAGAGTTTCGAATCCAAAAGAAGTAGAGAAAGAGAAAGGAAAGGGAAGGAAAAAAAAAGGGGGGGGAAAGAAGCAGAAAGCTCTTCCAAGCAGCAAGGGGCCGCCGCGAGCCCGGGTGTCCTCACACCGTTGATACCAAACTGCCACTGCCGCTGCGGAACAAAGCACAGAGATGCCAGAGTGGCCGGGAGCGCCGCGAGGCTGCACCGTGCCGGGAGCCCAGCTCCCACACAGGACCCGCCACGGAGAGCTCCTCCCCAGCCACGGCTGTGGGCTCAACCCCGAGAGCGAGACGGGGCAGCACCAAGGCAGAGGGGACGGGGAAGGTGCCAGGGAAAGACCCTGAGAGCGTGTGCTCTCCATGGCCTCGCTATCCAGGGGCAAGCCTGGAGCAGGTCGGGGAGACGGGACTCTCTGGAGGAGCACAAGGCTGGGGACACCAGGGCTGGCCCTGGGACCTGCCCTCCCCAGGTCCCTCCGTGCTCACAGATGACACCTGCACTGTGTCCCCCACCGCTGGCCCCATCCCAGCCACTGCCAGTGCCCCGGGGAGCCTGTGCAGGGACCCCCATGGGGACACGGCACCACGGCTTCACCCACAGCCAACACCAACAGTTCACAGGGAATGTGACAGGAAGGTGACATCTTACCTGCTGACGGACCTCGTCCCGTAGTCATCGAGACCCTGCAGAGAGGAGGGAGGAAGCACAGTGAGGGGGGATGTGGGCTGTGCCTGTTCAGGTGCCACCAGAGGGTCATGAACAGACCAAAGTGCATCAGGACCCAGGGATGGCAGGGCCGAGAGCCGATGCATTTGGAGAGGAAAGGGAGAGATGGAGATGGCTGGAGTGAAATTCAGACAGCAGGGAGTGAAGTTGCACCACTCTCTGCAGAATTTATCTGACCAGACACAGGAAAAAGACAGCTGGGAGAGCCCTGCTCTGCCCTGCCCAGCCCTTCTGTGAAACTGAGCTCGATCTGCTTCCGAGATGCCAAACACTTGGAAGAGGACTGAACAAGTTTGAGAGACCAGTGAAATGTTCTGTGGAAAGAGGGTTTGTCTGTATTAACTCCCACCAGAAACCCACAGGGTTTTGGACCATTTTCTCCTTCAGCCGGTGCTGGACGGGCTTTGCAGTGGGGAAGGACTGAGGGGTAGATGGGGACTGAGCTTGGAGAACATCCCTTAAGGACATCCCTCCTGAGTGAGGGCCTGTCGTGGGATATGGTCATGGAGCAGCTCTGCTCCCCATTACAAACACAGGACCACTGCAGGAAAGAGTCACTGACCTCTGAACTGGCCACACACCAGGGATCAGAGACCCAACTTCCCACTGTCCCAGGAATGCTCCCAGTAACAAAACCCACTTCCAGCAGCAAATCTTGCTGGGAAAACCCAGCAAACAGTAAGAAGTGGGGCTGTCCTTCCACCCCACTCCCTGCAGAGAGGAGCAGATCCCAGCTAGAGCACCCTGCTGAAGGATTGGGTGCTGAGTGGCCACCTCTCCCCCTCCTCATGCTCTCCCCACCTGCTGGCATGTGATGCCAATGTGGCTCATCTCATATGCTCATTTGGTGGGACAGTTCCACTACACCAGTGGCTCCTGGCTTAGGCTGATCCCATCTACACGTGCATCCTCCCCAGCTTGTTATCTGAGAAGCCCTGAGTTCTCTTTAGACACCTTCCAGAGCCCTGGTTGGGGTCTGCCCCAGCCCCACCGTGGGACTGTCACCGGCTTGAATTGGCACGTGCCAGAGAAAACGCTTCCAGCTGCCTGTGAGCAGCCTGTTTCTGGTGGGAGACTCCCATGGAGTCAGCAAGTGTTGTCCTTTGGGGGTTTACGGGGCTGTTTTGTGCCATTGCCCCCTGTGCCTTGCCCGTTCCCCCTCATCCACAGCTCTACTCTCCTGCTGCCTCCCTGCAGCCCTCGTCCCTTCTCCCCAGGAGAGGGGGGGAGGTAGGAGCAGGGCCTCAGGCAAAGCACGTGGGTCACCAGGCAAAAACCAGCCAAACTGCCGTAAATCCCAAGGGAAACATTGCGTGCGTTGGACTTACAGCTGTCGACCTAGTGTAAGGCTTGTAGTGAGCGGAGGGTGCTTGGCAGAGGCCACTGGAATAGTCTTTAATTGCACACCCATAGGGCATTAGGTAGTCCTAAAACAACGAACAGAGGTTGGAGAGCCGCCCTCCGGCACCCCCACGCATCCGACCACGCCAGGACCGGGAACACGCTCCCGCACATCCCGCCCAGGCGGAACGGGGAAGCCGCAGACCCCCAGCCACCACGGCCAGGGACCATGCCCAGGGATTTGCTCCAGCATCCCCCATTCCTAAAACGTCCCCCGGCGTGGGAGCAGCCCCGGCGGCGCGGGCTCACCTGGGAGAAGGCGGGCACGGCCACGCTGTACGGCCGCTGCTTGAAGGTGCTGCCGCCCTGCGCCGGGAAGGCCTGGGAGGCCATGCCGTAGTCGGGGGGCGGGATGGCGATGTCGTCCTTGTCCAGGAGGTTGCCGGTGCTGCTGCTCTTCCCTTGCTGCAGGCTGAGGGGGATCCAGAGCAGAGGCATCAGCACCAGCCCACGCCGTGCAGAGACCCCCAGGTCACTCGCCCACCCATGGCAGGACCCCACGGCAAAAGTCAACCCAGGCCAGTGACCACCTGCCTGTGCTGGGAGTTATTTCTAACAAGAATTCTTAAATAATTCCTAACCCTCATCCCAAGTCCACAAGGCCATCCTGGAAGTGGCACAGGGAGCCCCTGGCACAATGCTCCTACCTGGTGTGGACCCGCTCGCTGCCATCGTTGTCGAGGACCCGTGTGTAGGAGAAAGGAAACCAGCCCCTCCTGAAAAGCAAAGGCAGGAGTGAATCCAAAGGTTTATCCATGGAGTATCCAGATGAGGCTACTTTCAAGGACAGCCCCCACACTCACATTTTGGTTTTCTCGCTCTCTCCGTAGTGCCAGCCGTCCCGGGCCTCTGGGACCAGCAGCGTGATGAGGTCGCCCTCCTTGAAGCTCAGGAGGGTGCTGTTGTCCCCAGCAGCGTGAGAGAAAATGGCCTGAACCCTCGTCCTGCCGTTCCTCTCGAGCCCGGCAGCCATGGAGCTGGAGCGTGGCAGTGTCTTGTTTTCAGCTGCAGGGGACAGAGACCAGTGAGTGCCCCAAGCCCTTGACCCCCTGGCCATACCCAGGCACAGGACAGGCCCCTACCCTTCCTTGTTTGTCCCAGGTGCCAACAAAGCCTTCAGTGTGACTCACACCTTCCCCCTGCACAAACAGGTTCAGACTCTCGGCATCACCCATCAGCTGCAGCAAAGGGAGAAGCCTCCCTGCGCCAGATTCCACAAGATTTTCCTCCTGGAAACCCTGTGAATCCATCCCCACGGCAGAGCCCAGCTCCATCACTTCCTAAGCCCCAGGTCAAGAGGGACGGGCAGCCCTTGACACCAAGGGGGTGCTGTTGGCCACTGCCCCGTCACCACCAGCATCCCCAATAACCGTCCCCACCGTGGCTGCAGGTGGTCCCTGCCGACCTCTCCTTGAGCATCAGCTGGCACAGGCAGACCCAGGCCCCCCCAGCAGCCCCCCGAGGGGAGGACAGGGCCTCACCTGAGGCGTAGCTGTTTTTCGGTGGCACGTTTTTGCGAACTGGGAGTGTGTTGGAGTAAGAGTCACTCAGCTGCTTCTGAGGCTGGGGAGGAGATAAAGATTTGGGCTGTGCTGGCTTCATCTCAGACCAGTGGTTGTACCCGTCGCTGTCTGGGCCTGAGACTCCGTTCATCACCGGCATGGCCTCCTGCGCCGACATGCGCTACGAGAGAGGAGGGGAGGGGAACAGGGGAATGTCCTCGTTAGGCATCCCAGCACAGCTCAGGGGAGGGGGTAGATCGGAGCTTCAGCCTGTTTGGTTTAGTTCCCCAGCCAGAACACACTGCTCGGAGGGGAGCAGTGGGGTCACCTCTGCGGTATTTTACTG